GCTGTTTGTTCATGCTAACCCTAGGGATGTTATGTGAGATATAGAATGAATTATTTAGGCTGGAAAAGGAGAAAAAAGAGAAGAAGAAGCAAAAGAAGAAAGAGGAGATAGCGAAGCAGAAGGCAGATGGGACATACATGACGAAGGTGCAGAAGGAGGAAAAGGCGAGGATGGAACTGGCCAAACAGATGTTCCTGCAGAGTGGAAACGTCAAGATACTCGCCAACGCCGCCGCCACTCCTGCAACAGCAACACCAACAATTCCAGATGCTAAAGAAAACACTAACAACAACCAGAGCAATAATAAGCAAAACCAGTTCAGTGGACCCAAGAGGAAGCAGAGCAACTGGAAAGAGAAAGAGAAAGAGAAAGAGAAAGAGAACAAAGACCAGGTCATTGAGGAGCAGAAGGCAGGCGATACTGCAGAGAAAGTAGAAGAGAAAGAGAAGATACCCGAGGTTTGTTTTGATTATTCAACTTCTAGATTCTGGAATTGAGACAGATTTTTAAATTGCGTTCATATTATTACAAACTCGGAAGTTTTTGTCAAGAATTGAACGCTTATTGGTATTGGTATTGAACGATCTGATAGTTGCTAAGATCTTAAGATTTTTGATTTCACTTGGTTTTGTGCGCTTCTTTTAATTCATGGCGCTGTGTTTAATGTAGGTTCTAGACAACTGGGAAGACCAAAGTGAAGACGAAGACTGGGAGAAGATGGACGAAGAAGAAGATGGAGATGAAGACAGCAAAGGAAAGGGAGACAAAGACGATAAAGGGGTCGGGAAAGTTGAGGCTTTGACCAATGGGGTGAAGAGTATGAAATTGGAGAATGGAGGCACAGCTGCTTCCAAGGTTGAAGTGGACAAAGATGATGAGGACAGTGGGGGCAGTGACGACGAATCTAGGTATGTTTTTGTGTTCCAGATAGATAGTGGTTTTGTAGCTGTAGTATAATTGGTTATCGGGATCGAATAAACGGCATGAAAGCCCATTATAGAAGCGTTTTGAACAAGTTCAAAAACACCGTATACCATTGATTCGTTAATTTAAATGTTGCTAATTGATTCTTGTCTGTGCTTGGTTAAAAATTGATAGAACGCTCGAACTGCATAGATTATTAAACTATTTTAGAATTGATTTGATAGAATGATTGATTGAACCTATGTCAATCAGAATTGATCCGAAGTTGCGGTACCCCGTAATAACTATAAACCACTCGCCCTAACCGCAGTGATTTTTTGCCCAACCCCCCGGTAATTTTTACTCTCCGCGAATTAAGTTCTGAACAGTACTTAACCTCGTGACTAAATGGTCTTAAAATGTCTTATGTTTATTAGCAGTGACGATGAAGTGGGAACTTACACCAAAGAGGAGATCAGAGCGAGGATAGATAAGCGCAGGAAGGAGGCTGAGGCCAACAAGGATGTCTCAGATCCACGATGTGCAGTGGTGTGTGTACTCGGACACGTAGACACAGGTGGGTCAACCTGATTAGAAATCTTGCAGTGTTTTGGTCTTGAAGCACAGAAAACACATTTTCATTTCAGCCAAAATGGAAGCCAAAATTTCTCTTCCCAGGTTAAATTACCAAAACTCATATTGGGGTACCTTGTTCTTGGGGACGGTTTAATTGTTAAAGGATGAAATGAATCATCTCGATTCCACAAGCCTCAGTCGTCTATATTGTCACCTTGATCTATAATGTAGGTTGTAACTGGTCTGTATTTTTCAGGAAAGACGAAGATCCTGGACAAGATCAGACGTACTAATGTGCAGGACGGAGAGGCGGGAGGCATCACTCAGCAGATAGGAGCCACCAATATGCCTCAGTTCGCAATCACAGAGTGGAGCAAGAGTGCCAATGTGAAAGGCTTCGACGAGGCCGCACTCAAACTGCCAGGCTTCCTCGTCATCGACACACCGGGTAGGTCAACGACGTAATAACTGTTCATTTTACTATAGCTTGCTCCTGCTCGCTATTTAGTATTGCTGATTGTGTAATACGAGACAAGAACATTTGAACAAAACTGGCGAAATATGGATTTCTATGGTAATTTCGGAGCTGTAACGCAATACTTAAATAGAAATGTCTGATTACAGGCCACGAATCCTTCACTAACCTGAGAACGCGAGGGTCTTCCTTGTGTGACCTGGCCATTCTGGTGGTGGACATCATGCATGGCCTGGAACCACAGACTCTGGAGTCGATTGAATTGCTGAAGAAGAGACAGGCGCCCTTTGTGGTGGCCCTGAACAAGATTGACAGACTGTTCGAGTGGAAGTCCAACCCCGCACAGGACATCCGAGACACAATCAAGAAACAGAAGAAGCACACCAAGGTACCACTTACTTTTTCATACCTCCCACTAATGATAAAAACTGGCCCAGCTCATTTAAAAAAGACGTCTATTAATTGAAAAGTTTTATGCCATAAACAGCAGTTAAAGAAAAGTTTCCGGACGCAACTTGATGTAAAAATGACAAAAGTTATTTAGTCTTGCAGGAATTAATGATCTCAATTGCAAAGAGGCCTCAAATCGAAAAGATCATCTATATGCCTCCATCGATTGTCGAAAATTCCTTCCATTTATGCTCTGATTATGATTTGTGTATTTAGGATGAGTTTGAGACTAGACTGAAAAAGACGATCGCAGAATTTGCGGAGAAGTGTGAACTGAATGTAGTGCCTTTCTGGGAAAACGAGGACCCCGCCACTTACGTATCCATATGTCCCACATCCGCACACACAGGTAAACTTACATTCCTTTCAGGAATTGGTTTGGTTGTTCTTCTATCGTTCAGGAATGGAATGAACCACGATTGAGCATCAATGTTTCCGCAATTTGACTTCGGTACGCATTCAATGAAAATAATACTAATAAGTTAGGATTGAACTAGTACTAATGGGGCACCGAAAATTTAAAATGTGATTTGGACACCAATTTGTCAATTGCATCATTGATGCTTTCCTGCTCCAGTATTTATTCCAGAACTGAGGCGGCCTATAGAAGCACCTTGTCATAAGTACATCAGCTGGACTCTATTTTGTTCTGATAAACAGCAATTAGAACGGCAGGCTTCACTCGTAGTTCATTGCGTTCTGATATGCCATATCTTAAGGCAAGGAGTTCCATCATCCGTGTTTTCTTGCACCAACCAGTGGCATTTTGTGGAAACATCAAATTTAATTTGTCTAATCAAGCTTTAGTTCTAGACATAAATTCAGACAAGCGATACTTAAATATAAAGGACTAGTTAGTGCAATCAATGGTGAGAGTAGATAGATAGATCATTTGGCTTAAGGTGACGGAATGGGCAACATGATCTGGTACATGGTCCATTTCTGCCAGAGTTACTTAAAGAAACGTCTGGCCTACAGGACAGAACCACAAGCCACTGTTCTGGAGGTGAAAGAGATCCAGGGACTGGGAACCACCATCGACGTCATAGTCGGTAAGGTCACCAGCATTTCTTCCTTGAACTTGTGCTCAAAACAAACAAGACTGCTCGTATCAGGGCGAAGCCCTGAATGTTCCGACTGTCTTTTAAGGTTTATGGAGCAGCAGTAAAAACATAAAAAAATTAAATAAAATAAAATGAAATTTTTTTTTCTAAATTTTGAAATTTTTTATGAAAATCATCCCCCCACACGCCATATAAAGTACAAAAAGAGAGGTTTCGTTCCTTGTAACAAATCAATTATGGCAAATAAGCTTCGTTCAACCAATTTGGAACGATTTATAAGACGGAGTAAATCTCCGCTTACGCGTTAATAGCGCGAATTATATCGCGCGTTAATTGTCCCAAATTGGTCAAAATGGCAATCTTTAAACCCTCATAACTTTACGAAAAATGATCACAGGTGAAATCTCTTTTCAAATTTAAGCTCAGGACAACAATACCTTTTGAGTGATTTAAAAAAATTTCGTCAAAAATGGCTAGTTAAAAAGTCGAAATTTGTCTGAAGAAAAAAAAAACCCACCCCGAGCACAAATATTCCGTTACTTTCGTATCGAAAGTCGGAACAATAAGTACGAGGGATGTGAAAATATTCCATTGTAATTCCTTTGTTCAAATCTGAAGAAACTCCTCGAAATTCATTTATTTAAAAGCGTGTGTTCTCTGTTAAACTGTTTTTCGTTGAAAATGTCTACGTTGATGTTAAAAACGCTTATTAGAAATTAATGCTGAGAGTATTTGTATTTTAGGGTCGATTTTTAAATATTGTTGCCGTGTTTAAGTGAATGGTCGCTTGAAAGAAGGCAAACCGATAGTGGTGGCAGGCTACGATGGACCTATTCAAACATATATCAAAGCCCTGCTTGTGCCGCCTGCCATGAAGGAACTTAGAATCAAAGCTCAATATGACAAAGTGAAGCAAGTTCGAGCAGCTACAGGAGTCAAAATCTTGGCCAAAGACGTTGAGAAGGCCCTGGCTGGGATGCCGATGTTAGTTGCCTCGAGGAGTGACGAGCAGGAAGTGTTGACAGAAGAGATGAAGAAGATTCTACAAGGAATGATATCATCAATTAAACTGAATGACAGAGGAGTCTATGTACAGGCTTCGACACTTGGTAAGAAAAATGTTTATTTGTTCTTAAATGCATATTTTCATAGATGCACACGCACAAAAAACAATGATTGAAGGTAATTTATCCGTAAACTTTTTTTTTGTGTAGGATCTCTCGAGGCGTTGCTGGAGTTTTTGAAGCAGTCACAGATCCCCTACTCAGGAATCAACATCGGACCGGTTCACAAGAAAGACGTCATGAGAGCCAACACCATGTTGGAACACAATGAACTATACGGAGTCATACTTGGTTAGTGCTTTGAGAAGTTGATTTTTGGCACTTGCGAACATCATAAGAATATAAAAGGATCTTCTGCTGAGTAGCCTCTCCAACTGGTGGCAAAATATTTATAGACCCAACCTACTTTTTTTGTATTATGGTGATGGGGCGATTGAAGAAAAAGCCATAGTAAAGTCTTGAAGGCTGACTTATATACATGAGAGATTGTTGGGGTAGGTTTAACTCTATAATACCAAGTTTTGAGCTGAAGCAAAAATTGCCTCGAAGCAGACCGAAGAAAAGTGATAATATACACACAATGAATGCGAGGTCGTATTCGGAAAAAGGACATCATATCAATTTGTTGAAACATTTTTTTGGAGTTTACTAGCGTTTCAGTCATTTGCGCAAATGCTTGTGAAGTGGAAACATCGTTTTTGACAGAGGAATTGATTGAATGAAACGTTTTAATGTTTTAGTTGTATCATTGAAATCCATTGTTCATAAACTAGACCAATTGAGTAAACTAACACCATGCTATTCCGTTTGAACGGTTCATGTTTAGCGTCTTTAAATCATGTTCGCGATAAATCATGCAATATATTGATGTACCGTCATCGTGCGAGCGAAGTTTTTCAAATTTCGTCTGAAATAGGAAGATTTCTGAAAGTTGCATTGACACAAAATCACAAAATATCATAGTTTCTTTGACTCGCATAAATTTTGTGCACTTTTTTAGCCTTTGACGTGAAAGTAGAGCGGGATGCGCAAGACATGGCGGATACTTCTGGCATCCGAATATTCACAGCAGACATCATCTACCACCTCTTCGATAAGTTCATGGCAAGTCATCTATCTATCTATCTATATCTATCTATATCTATATCTATATCTATCTATCTATCTATCTATCTATCTATCTATCTATCTATCTATCTATCTATCTATCTATCTATCTATCTATCTATCTATCTATCTATCTATACTTTATTTAAATGCGAGTGACAGCTATCTCCCATGCTTAAGCATAATAATTTTGCATGTTTAAAGAATTTTTTCATGACTAAGCTATATCATATGTTGCAATGCTTAAGAAATTTTTTCACTTGGTTTTCCGCAAGGCCATTAATTTTTCAGTAATTTTTTTCGAGGCCAAATTAGGTCTGTCTGTCTGTATACCTGCTTTTTATTAATTTGATTATGTCTGTCTACCCGTCTCCTAATTTTTTCACTTTCATCTATTATCAGTCTATTATCTATTATCTATCTATTATATATTTAAATGCGGGCGTCACTATCTCGCCTGTCTGTCTTAAGAAACTCAAATTGATTGTTGAACAAAATACCAGAATGAAGTGGATAGACTAGAGGTACAATAAGCACCTATCCAGAGTCTACCCGAACACAACTTGGTGACAAATTTAAATAAAATAAGAGAAAAGATAAAAGCGGAAAAAATTACTTTTTAAAATAATTATACCAAATTAATTCAGAAAAGAGCCAAATTCTGTTTATTTTTCACTGATTACGCGCGATTACTAGTCCCATATAATTTTACACCAGTATTAAGGAAATTTTAAAAAGAAAGATTTCTTTCCTTTGATATTTAGTCTCTTTTTATCAAAAAGTTGGTGGAAACAAATAACTGTAATCTGCAGAAAAGTATTTGAACTAAATATAGCATAATTATACACTTTATTTTATCGGGTTAATTAGATTTAAATCAAAATATAGAATTCCCACCCAGAAATAAATTAGTTATAATGCATATTGTCTATCGTTTGTGATTAGTTCTCACAATTTTCCATTCAAGTTTTGCTGAACAGAGTTGTTACTGACTTAGTAAGAAGTAGAGAACACTCGATTTGACAAAAGATTAACTATCGGCTCTTTTCCAATTTCTCTCGCGCATATTTACATCAGTGGAAAAAATTTAAACGCAAAAATAGTTTTACTCTTCAAAGTTCCCTATTGAAAGACCTCGGAAAACAAATACTCAGAATTTCATGAAATACATTAGCCGACACGACCGCGAACTATCTGAGCTGCTCTCTATGAAAGTTTTAATTGTTAGTTTGAAGAACTTAACCAGTTTGATTTGAGTTTGAAACTGCCTTTTTCACTATCTTCTATAAGTTAGACTAGACCAACGACGAGAAAAGTTTCTGTACATCTGAGTTTTCGAAAATCTCCCTTAGGGAACGCTTTTCTTTGCTTTGCTTTGTTTTTTGAGCTCTTTGAACAGAATAGTTCATGTCGCATTAATAAAAGCATTTTCACGCGTGCTTTCACCATGCGTAGTTAACTTGTTTTTTCAAAGCTAAGTTCAGATGGGAGCGGAGTCGAAAAGCGTTTGTGTCGTTTAAAAACAAGTATACTAGCGGGCAGAAGTAAAGGCTGCGTTTACTCTATAATATCTTTTTAACTCCCTTTTTCGACTGCATTTACGATGAATTTAACAGTATTTTAACATTCATGTTTTAGGTTTGTGGTACTGCCCGCTAAAAGCGTTTGTGATTTCTGAAGCCCGAGATAAAGTTCTGTTAACTTTTTTTTCTAGTCAGCCATTCTTGCCATCAAAACGTTTGAAGTTCGTACAGTTGGGTTTTATAGTTTCTTCGCTTCATCTTAAAAAGCTGGTGTAAAGAAACGATTTCGACCAGGGAGAATTCGGCGACGTTTCTGTGGTTTTTAATCAAGCCGCGTATGTTCCTTTGTCCAAACATTTTCATTATTATTGGTTGAATTTTGCCAGTTACTCTCTGTTTGAGCCGCTGAAGGCATATCCTCGGGAGTGTAAAATATAGCAAAACTGACAGGTTTTCCGTGCCTGGTTTCAAATATTTATATAGCTAATTTCGCCAAATGTTTTTGAGGGCAGCGAACGGGGTCTGTGTCTGATGTTGATGTGATGCTGTAACATGGAAGCTTCATTTGATGATAGTCGTTTGGTGACGTAAAAGAAATCGCAGCCTCATTTTGGTCCTCGGGAATATTAGAGCACCAAAGAATGGAATGGGCGTTAGCGTCACCTAGGACTAGACTTTTCTCTTCTGAGAGCAGAGAGAAATCGATGTTCAATAGCCCTTTGGACAGCTACTGCGGGGAGGAGCCTGAAATTCATGGCCTCGTTTGCTTGTCTTTATATTAATTTATTTTACCCATATTTATTACTCGAGGATGTAGTTTTTAAGAGTAATGAACGTAGTGATTTTTTTTTTCAGGGAAAGTCTTTAAAGTCTCTAATAACTACCGATACGCATTCATACATATTAATGCATTTATGAATGCTTATATGCACCTTTCGAGTTCAATTGAACTTCATCTACTGAAAATTACGTAAATAGCACTCTTCAAATACGAACGTGGAAATGGCTGGATAAAACGTGAACGATTTCTAGTTTCGAAAGTGGTATTTAATTTATAGACTTCCAGCGGAATAAAAAACTTTACCGGTTGATCCATTTTTTCAAGTTGGGTTAATGTTATCAAAAAAGCGCCAATCAGAAATCGTTCTAGAAATTGTAGAAGAGCTTAAGGGGCATCTATTTTTTCTTTGAAATTCGAAAGGTGATATTTTTTTCCAGAAAGTCAGTGTTTTTCTTATGTTTACTTGCGTTCATTACTCTTTTCCAATCTTCGATTGGCTATGTTTCTTTTTATTTTCTTCAGCTTTGGTTGTCAGTTGCATTTGAAGATTAATCCGTCTACTTTTGTGAAATGACACGTTTGCTTCGGAACGGAAATTTCTTTTGCGGCTTATGGAGCAAATAAAAGGAGCGAGGCGGGGGATTATGCCTACAAGATTTATTAATTTTAATAGACTGAGCGGCGCGGTCAATTTAGGAAGCTCTGAATCTAAAAAAAGTTGTCCGAGCGTACATTTCGCACTCCCGTCTCGGGTAGGATATGAAATTGCTATTTGTTGCTGCTTGCAGTTCTTAAATTCCTCCATGGTATTTCAACAGATGGTCACTGTTGATATGCAATTGTTCCCTAATTTTGATGAAATTTAACGTTTTTTTGACGTAATTTCGACTTCAAGATATGGCGCTTTGTTGAACATCCGCCCAATTCCAATAGCGTCTTTTGCGCTTTTAGGCCTTTAAAGAGGAATTGAAACAGAAGGCGAAGGACAAACACAAACACCTGGCCATGTTCCCCTGCAAACTGAGGGTGCTTCCCAACTGTATCTTCAACACCAGAGACCCCATCATCATCGGAGTCACAGTGGAGGCTGGCATCGTCAAGCCAGGCACCCAATTATGTGTGCCCTCCAAGTTAGTCTGCGGTGCTTGTATTCTGTTTTTTTTTGGGGGGGGGGTTACAATTGAAATATGCTCATATTCTGTGTACATAAGGAGAAGATTGATCTTAACTCAGGGCACCTTAGAACGAAACTATGAGCGAAAAAATTCTGAATAACCTTTCAAGTTAAGATCAACAAGGATCTCCTAAGTTTCTCACACTTTAGTTTTTAAGTCGCGCAAAATTAGTCGAACGAAGGAAACACGGACTAATTTTTCTCGATACTGAGACCACTTAATCGTTTTTTTTTGGAATCCGAATCAAGACTTAAAATTGTTTTTATATGATACCACCTTGGCCCATCTATGCATTTTTTTGATAGTCAACTCAATTTGAGAAAAACGCGTTTTAAACTGCAAGTTTCATTCGTTTTCTCCGGATAATTTAAATCAACACTACTCATGGTTACTTGAATACAATGAAATAAAAGTCAATGTCCCGTTAGAACATGTGGTCTTAAAATGAGCCTTTTAAGCAACTTCTTAACTTTTGATTTTTTAAATTTCTAGAGAAGGAATCATTTTGGGAACAGTTGCTACCCTCGAGCAGAATAACAGACCAGTGGATTTCGCCAGACAGGGAGCAGATGTCTGTCTCAAAATAGAGAACACAACAGGCGAAGCTCCCAAACTGTACGGCCGCCATTTTGACTCAACTGACATTCTGATGAGCAAATTGACACGAGAGTCAATCGACGCCCTCAAAGACCATTTCAGAGACGAAATGACTAAGAATGACTGGCTATTAGTCAAAGAGTTGAAGGCTGTATTCCGAATTGTTTAATATATATCGAAATGCTTCTGAGCTTGTTTGGTATATTGACGCTTGAAGTAGACTTCGAATTGAAGTTTAGCTAAAACGAGTAGGCGATTATTGAAGTGAACTTCAAAGCAGTGAAAAGAGGGCGTTACAAATTGAGCTTCTGTTTTTCAATTTACCGCTATTGTTTTAAGCGGTACATTTTACTTTGGTGCTTATTGATATGATTTTCCTTGTACTTAAATAATGGGTTAATTTTGAGCTTCGCAAGCACACCTGTTTTACAAGATTTCATTCAGCAGTTTTTTAAAAACTGAACTCATCAACCTATTTTCTGGTTAGCTGCTGTGTTAGCGATGTCATGCTTATTTGAGCTCAGTTTCGTTTGATAGTTTATTTGCCATGCTCGAAGGTCAAATATGTCCTAACATGTATGAACGAAATCAAGTTTCACTTTTTCAGGTCACTGTGTAAGAGTCGATGAAAGCTAAAAGTCGGTGACTCAGTTTTGATTTTTCTCAGTTTGACTTTTGATTTCTTTTTAAGTGCAGTTCATTTCCTTGGTTAAAAGGAAGGCTTACTCCACTGTCGATCAGCAGAATTAAAAGGTCACGAAAAACGTCAGATATCCCAGCGAAATAAAAAAATTTACATATTGATTGAGGATTCTAAACTTATGTTAGTTTGATCAAAAAAGTGCCAATCTTAGATTGTTCTTAAAATCAAAAAAAGCTTCAAGGGCATATGTTTTTTTTTGAAATTTGGAAGTTCAACTTTTTTCACAAAACAAGTCAGTATTTTTTTGTTTCCTTGCGTTCATTGATGCTTTTCCGACTATCTGTTGGCTATGCTTTTAAGTATAAAAGATCGAAGTGATTTTCACTTTTATAGGTCTTGATTTTTTTTCAGGAACAGTCTTAAAATGCTCTAATATACAGAAGTGCATGATACATATTATTGCATTTATATGCATTTTGAGTTCAATTCAGATCAGAAATAAGATAATATCTTCTTTTTTTAAGCGATGTATTATTTATGGTGAATAATGAGGTAGGTATTTTAAAAATGGTTTGTGATTGAACAGAGTTTTGTCCTCATACTAGAAGTCTTAGTTGTCTTTTGTAACAATACTTGTTGGTTCTTCGGAATGGAGCTTCAAATGTAGATGGACGTATTAAGGAGCCGTAAAGTTTCCTTGAATATGTTGCTTTTGATGTATTCTCGAGATAATTGCAATTTTTGAAATATTTTAAGGGTGTTCTACGTATTTTTTTTGATATTTCTCTAATTTTGTAAATTTGAATTATTTAGTGAGAAAATATTCATATAAAATATTTAACTCTCAAGGATGGCGAACGAGTCCTGAGGCGAGACCCTGGAAAAACAAAAACACGAGGACCAAGATACTAACAAATACGAAAATAAATGATTTCATGTCAGTCGGAATTATCTAACAGAAAACAGTTCTTAATTATATACCTTTTTTATTAATTTCGCTTGTCCTTAATTGTTTTAAATTGTCAGGTAGCAGTTTGTTTGAGGATAAAAAGTTATATATCGTCTGGCTGAACGACCTTGCAGCCCATTTGTTCTTACTACTAGTAAATTGAGAATTTTTGATTCGCGAGAATTTTTGATTTGCATCTCCTATTAATTGTTATTCTTTTGGCTTGGCACCACAAGTCTACATTTTCAACTTCTTCTTTGAATTCTTGTACTATGCTTAATTTTTTTATTAGTGCAAAACAGCCTTGTGTCATCCGCGAGAAGACACATTTTGTCGTTTTTTGAATTGATAGGAGCGGCCCAAGTACTGAGGCCTGTGGAACAACGTATTTTATCTGTTGCATATTCGAATTCTTTCCATTTGAAGAAACGTATTGATAACAATTAGTTCAATATGATTGTATTAGATGTTAGCATATGCCACGAAAGCCATAGCATTCTAGCTTTTTCCTCAGAATAGTATGATCGATAGTATCAACCGCGTTTTAGAAATCTATTAAACAAGCCATTCCAATGTTTTTCGAATCTTTGCATGATCGAATAATTTCTGTAGCAAGGATGCTAAACTTATTAATAAATTTGAATAAACGATTGAAAACCTTTTTTTCATAACTTTGCTTATTGATGAAAGCAGGCTAATTGGTCCAATATTAGATAAGTCCTCGTGAGAACCCTTTGTATGAAAAGATAGAAGTTTGGCTATTTTGAACTTATCTGGAATTTCTTTATAGATTAACATTTGATTGAACAAATCAGCTAATGGGTAGCTAATTACCTCAGCACAATGTAATCATTTTATTACTTATGCCATCATGACCACAAGACGATTTGTTTTAAGAGTATTAATAACTTTCTGTACTTCATCATGATATGCGGGATAAAGAAAAATAGCGTGTCGTTCTGTTTAACTCTAATAACAATTAATGCTCTGATTATCTTGCATGTTATCCAGTTTTTCTCCAAAGTCAAAAAAACTGGTTGAATTTATTCAAATCTATTGGAAAATGTTTTTCTTTTAATTTCCGCAAAATCAATAAAAACAGTGAACAGTGATTTTAAAATAGTACGACGTTTTGCTCTGTCTAATAAGACAAACAACTTGGGCACTTGAATTTGTAAACTGCAATAGATTATTTTCTGATGGTTTGGAAACATACCTTTTATATAGTCTGTCTCGTTAATTGCGAAGGCTTTGAATTTTACGATTCAACCAGGACTTGTCTTTTTTGATGGTTAATTTTTCAAGCGGATAAAATTAATCAAAAACGTCGATAAATGAGTTAATCAATGATTCAAAAGAAAAAAATTTTCTCAAATGACACAATATCAAGGTCAACTTTCAAGGCATAGTGATTACTTATTTTACAATGAATGTTTTACACTGTCCTAAATATTTTATGTATAATTTGATCAAGGCAAGATGAGCTAATGCTTGTAATTCTGGTTGGTAATGAGTTTTGAACTGAAAGTGCAAAAGATATCAAAATATGAAAAAAAATTTTGAATGCCGATCAAGAATGTCTACGTTGAAGTTACCGCATAAGAGGATGTTGTTCTCGGCGGCATTTGAATCAATTAATAGATTTTGCAGCTCCTGTAGGAATTTACTAAGGAGGAGTGATGGTGGTCGGTACAAAATGCAGATTAAATGTTTATCCGTTTTTTCACTCAAAGAAATAACCATTATTTCTACTTCTCTTTTGATAGTGTGTGTATCAACGTGTGCGCCTTTTATCACAAATGCCGCAATATCCTCACCTTTTTTCTCTGGCCTGTTGCGTGTTACGTTTTTTTTAGTAACCATCAAGGTAGTGTAAATCTAAGGGGTCGTCATCATGTTTCAGAAAGACTTAGATCTGTGGGTAACGAATCAAAATGTTCTATTTCTTATTTTGGAAGGTCATGATTGCATCTTAAAGATCGTATGTTAACATAAAACAATGAACCCTTTTTAGGTTCATGTGGTAGTTTAATCCTCGCTTGGTTTCCATAACGAACAAAAACATTTAAAGTGAGCTTGGTTTTCAATTTATCCCGCTTAACCCCGCTCTAAGCTAGCCCTCAGTAATCAAATCTATATCATCAACAAAATGTTTTTTTTTTGAAGGATTCTCTCCTACAGAAACCATGTTGGCTACTTGAGTCACAAGATTGATGAGCTGATCAATTTGGTCTTCTCTTACGTTTCTGCGTTTTTACCATAAGTTCTGGGCAATTTTTCTCCTGGCACATCAGTAAAATCCATTGAAAGTTTAGCCTCACTTTCTTTTAGTTCAAACCCAAAACACACATCAATTTTTTTCCGAGTTAACTCCAATCCTTTTTTCATTTAAATTTTTGAAGTGTTCTTAAACGGAAACCTGACCTTTTTTTTGTTGTCGTGGACAGATGGGCAGCCTTGGCGTGCTCCAGTATCTCTATATCGGCTGGTGTCAGCGTTTCAACCACATAAATAGACTTCCCACCACTATTTATTAATTTTTTCAATCTATCTTCATAGTACCAAACCAAATCGCGATGAATAAGTTTGGCAATTTTTGGTCTCCGTACTGCTCCGGGAAGAAAATGTCACGCCGCGAGGTCCACGTCATTGATCGGAAAATCTATTTGATTTTAAATTACCTTTAAAACAGTATCCCAAGGATCTGATGCATCTAGTCCGTGAAAAAAAGTCAAACAGAATTTGGAGGAATAATGCTCTATATCAAGCATCCTTCTGTTGATAAGTCCCTGGTTGTGAAGTAATTTTTCATTCTCACCTTCTGTGACAACAATCTTCTGTTGTTGGGTGTCGATGAGATCCAATATTTGACCAAAGAGTGTTTCTTTTTCTCCAAATTTGAAAAAGTCTGACTGTTCAATTTGCTATCTGATGGCAGCGGTCATGTTTTTAGAGCGAAAGTTCTGGCGAGAATAAATGCAATTAGAGCACAGCTGGCTTTCAATTCCAAAACTATTTAATAAGTTTATCACAACAATTAGGTTATTTCGTTGTTTAATTTCATTATGTAGTCGGGATTTAGAACTGGACTTCTTGGGCTAAGTTGGCTTATGGCATTTTTCATTAGATCTACCTAAATCCCCTTTTAAGTGCATTCCTTGATGCGTGGTTTTAGTTCCAACTTTCGAAACTAGCTTGAGATAATTAAAGCGCTTTCCAGATTTTTATTAAACCGGTGTACTGTAGGCGATGAAACAACCTTTTTTATAATGTTTTTGGACATTTTTCGCATTTAACAAAAACTATTTTATGTGTGTAATTGTAATTTGTAATATAGAGGGTTTTGCCCTGATACGATTAGTCTTGTTGCTTTTACTATAGCTGAGAGGAGTGTTATCCAAGCTGCAGTTAATTAATGGATTAAACAACTGACTCTTGGCCATTTGGTTGCCTGTGTTTGCAAAGCGCAATTTTGCCTCTTTTATAAAAGAGTCTTCTCGGTTGCATATCAAATCCGATAGAAACAACGGTTCCTAAACGTCATCTTCTTCAACAAAACCGCATATGCTGCATCGAGGCATAGTACATAAGGAAAGTTCTAGCAGACCAAATATTTGCCAATTGTTTTTGTGAGAGCTTTGAAATGGGTTTTCATAAAATTCTCTTCGTTTTAGTGGAGGCGTAAACTAAAAATTTTAAGTGGCGGCCAGTGATAAGTATTTCAAAACGACAATTTGGTTTTTCAATTTTTAAATTTAGCTGATCGTTTTCTATTTCGAAAGTAAATTGGTAATTCTGTTTGCAGATTGTTACAATTAAATTGTAAATAGTTAACCAGGATGGCCGGTTGCTGTGAAAGTAGCTCAATGTTCCGACCACATTCTCAGATTTTTGTCAAGTCGACTTTTCGTGTACGTCGTGTGATGATAGAGCTGTACAAACGTGTAGAAATTTAGTGAATTAGGTATAAACGACAAAATTTTAAAATTTTCGGTTTTGTTGCACTAAAATTTGCAATTTTTTTCAAATGAATTTTGTTGCCAGAGATATATAAGGCATCCAAAATTAAGTTTTCTTTTAGTAAATTAATCAATATTTATCCTAAATGGTAATTTTTATACATACCGAACGCTATTTGATCGAAAATTGACCAAAAATAAAAAATTTCAAACCGGTTTTCTCGACACTGGGAATTTTTGTTTGGAAATTTTTTGATGTCGTTCAAATCACGACTTAAAGGGCTTTCATATGATATATTACGCAATCCAGTCCGATGATTATTTGTACCTGTTTTTGAGTGGAAAAAAAAATAAGAAAAAAAACTAAATTACACCTGTATACAGAGTTCCTCAATTTCAATAGTTGTCAAATTTTCTGTGTGGAGAAGATTAGTAAATTCGATCGAGATTTTCAAAATATCTTTCTGGAGTACTTAGAATAGGGCTCGTTTTGCAATATTATAATAATGAAACACGAAATTGGCTTGGTTCGAAAGATAAATCCTATGTATTGAAATGAGTGTTCACTTAATTTGGTCGTGTGGTTTTTTTGTCTGTTTTTCAGGAGAATGAAGGTTTCTTTTAGAATTTTCTGCGGAATAAAACTTAAATCTTCAATCAAAATTTTCAAACTGGGTAACTTTTTTTGTTTTCATGTTTGTATTTTAAATTTTTTTTACTTCAATTGTCGTGATTGGAACATTCTGTGCTGCTTGCACATCAACTCGCCATGCTTGTTCTTTGCTAATAGTGATTGATTTTCTTTAAGTTAAGTTGGTTTCTCGTGCGGTTAGAATTTAGAATGTCGGATGAACTTTCTAGGAGCAACTAGGCGGTTCACAACAATATTGTAAAAATTCTGATGCTTTAATATGCAAAATGTTATAAAAGTTTCACATGATTAAAAGTATATGCTTTTTTCTGTTCTCTTGAACCAGCATGCTGGTGCTAAATGTTTTCTATAGTTTATTTGGTATGTTCATTTTTTTGCCCGAGTACTTAATTTATTGATCGTTAGTATGCTGTTTCAGCCGTTTCATCATTGCAAAGTGTCAATGAACGTATTTTTTTTCAGATTAAGTTCAATTTTTTTCGCGGTTACGCGTTTGATTTCTGTTCAATGTAATTCGAATTGATTTGTTAATGATGCTGTTCGAATGATGCTGTTCAATAACGAAATTGCCTTGGAGCGAAAAATTGTGATAGGCGTCTGTTTTCAAAAGTAGGTTTTGATTTTTAGAGTTCCTGTGGAGTTTCATCCAAAATGACCTATGATCCAGCTTTCTCAAATTGGAATAGTTTGATCAAAAAGGTGTCAGATATGGAATATTTTCGACGAAAATCGAAGAGCCTTAGATAATTTTTTCCGTGAGCCGTTGATCTTGAGTCGTTGACCCTTTTCCAGCTGTCTTTTGATAACCCTTTAAACTTGGTCTTGCGGTAACGAGCGTGCCTTGGGATCCTTAGCAGGGGCGGATCTAGGATTTTCTCGAGGGGGGTGGATTTTCAAAAAAAATTTGACCTTTTTTTAGGTCGACTAAATTGATTTTCCAGAGCTCTCCTAAAGCACTAACAAGACGCTGTTTTGGTCAAATTTTCTGCGCCGCAGAAAAAACCGTTTCAAGGATTTTTGAAAAAACAGGTAGAAAAAGCCGTTTTTGGGCACTTTTTGGGAAATTTTGAATTTTTTTTGGCGCGCGCTCCCCCTCAAAGTTAGTAAATATTGGCGCCAGAGGCGCTTTAAAAAATTTTTAGTGTCGGTCGGCCAAAAATGGATTTCTTAAAAAATACCAAAGGGGGAACCTTTGGGTCGGCTGGGGGTCGAATCCCTAAGGGAAAGGGCGTCCGACCCCCCCCCCCCCCCCACCCCTTAAATCCGCCCCTGATCCTTAGGTCTGAGTTTTTAAATCCCGGACGTTCTTGTTTTTTTTCGATCTTGTGTTTAAAGACAATTATATATGTTGATTTTTTTAAGATTTTTGTTCACGCCAAATTACGCTTTTGACTTTTAATGATGAACGACTTCTTTTTTCGAAGGTGGATATTAATTTTTTGATTTTTCAGCCGAGTGAAAGTTTTACCTATTGATTCAGTTTTTTCAAATTTAGTATATGGCGCTCGTCCTCAAAATTAGTATCTTTTGGCGCCTTAATAAAAAATTTAGGGTTAGTAAGCCATAATTGGATATCTCAAAATTGTACAAAGGGGGGACCCTTTGGGTCGGCAGGCAGTCGGATCCCTTAGTGCGGGGCGTCCGCCCACCTTCCTCTAAATCCGTTGGTGATATGGATGTAGACATGGCGCTGTTGATGAACTTTCAATACAAACAATCGAACGGTTGAATAAAATAGTGGTTTTGAGTTTATACTTTGCACCAAAAAAATTGAAGGATATATCTGTTCGTCGCACTCTCAAAAAATTTTGTGGACTCGAATTATATTGCAGCAAAAGTATTGTGACATCTGAAAGCGTGTTGTCTGAACAGGAGGCTTGTTAATTCGCGAATTTTAGCATCATTCGAACGGCCAGTATAAATCATTTCTTCTCTCGTACGTCGCGAGCTCTCCTAGTGGTTCGGGCTGCTCTGTGCGGGTATGCCAAACATTTATGAAATTTGGTCCTATTAAACATGCCACGAGTTTTTTTTTTTAATTCGCAATTCAAAATCGGTTTTTTCATTGCTTACCTGGAAAATTTTCCAATTGATCCACTTTTATGCCTAGATTCTGCAAAAATGCGCTTTCTTGGTGACCCTAAAAGTGATCAAAAGTTAAACAGCAAATCATTGTAGTGAATCATGGTGTAAATCATGCTATAAAATGAGGATAATGTTACCTTTTTGGTTTTTCTGAACAAAAAAGAGTCAATGGGACCCCTCCTAAGAAAGAAGTTCAAGTTGACCACAAATCCAGCCATATCTATGCAAAACGCCCGGTCGTCGGGCCAAGCAGTTTTCCAGCCCACCACTCTCCCCGCGCGAACATCCGGACCCTCGAATAATTGCCCGGAGATGAGGCCGACGTTGAAAACGGCCACTCTTTTCACCCATCTAATCTGGTCGAGGAATGAGGCGTCGTAAGTGTTGTCATCGTCGGCAAAGTATATGGCCCCGTATGAAGTAATGTCTCCCATTAGATGCATTAAGTATAATTCCTTGAGGCCTCTATTGCGTTGATGGGTCCCTCGAAAAGTCCAGTCTTTGGATGTTGCTTCGGAGAGGTGAATTAATCTGTTTGAAATAGACATTCAAGAGGTATGATTGTTTGCAGTTGCTCACTTTGATCTGTTATAAGCATGTGGTCCAAAAACGGATTATGGAAGTGCAGCCTTAATAAAGATAGAAAATTTAGTGCATATTGCCGCCATGTTTGTTTATCGAGCCCATATTTTAAGTTGCGTGGTTTGTCAGACATGGTTTTGAGAAAACCTAATTTTGCACTGGTCAAAATTATGTTGGCATTTTTATGCCGTTGTATAATCTAAATGGTGTCGTTGTATAATCCAAGCATTTTCAGTCAAATGGTGAGCGACAAGCTAGTTTTGGTGCTTCTGAAACAGCTCCTAAATTCTGCTGCTGTTTCTGGCTTACCTGGTTAGAAGAGCATTCGGAACGCTCACTCTTATTAATAGTTTAAGTGACAGGAAATAGTTTAGCTCACTCTTATTAATAGTTGATGTATGGGTTCTGGTTACCTGGGGAAGTCCTTGATGTAGTTGTGCACTATTGCACTGGTCTTATCTGAATCTTCAATCACAATCCAAACACAGTTAGCCACGATAAGCAAAGTCTGTTTTAATCTGACCAGATCGGCCATTTGGGTCTTCCTGTTGTATGTCGGTGTGATAACATATAAAACTGGTGATTTGGCCTTGGTTGGTCTACTCGAGAGGCTAATAGATAAGTAGTGAAAAGTTAAATAATATATTGTAAAAATAATGAGAAATACGCTGATTGCACGCAGTAATTTTGATCGAGCCATAACTGATCGTCCGATTTTTTTTTATTCCGGAAGTTCACTATTTATGTGTGCTTGCAGTGCGATCGTTTCGATTCAAATAATTAATGAAACAAGTTCCGGAGTTTTTTCGCTGGTCATCTTAATGATCGAGCAGCTGGTTTTACGCCAGCATAAAGCTAAAAAAATGTTCTTTGGTGGATTTAGTTTTCTGAACTTCTTTCGAGCAAGAAACACTATTTTGAATATTTATATTGAAGTTCTTTTTATTGATTACTCTAAAATTATCAATTTGAAAGTTAGATGCTTTACACAATAGAGTGTGATCTGCTCATGATTGTTGATGTGTAGGTGATTTCAAACGTGACAATATTAGTCTCAGATAACGATCTCAGGTATTCGAACCTTCGTCTGAATGATTAGAATCAAATTAAAAAAGGCACGTTCTGTTTTTATTCGTTTTTGAGCTTGAACAAAGACCATTTTTAGTCGTAAGTTGTAATGAAAACTAAGTTCTTAAGACGTAAATGATTCGATTTATAACTGATGTGTATATATGATTCGTTTTTGTAAATGATTAGTTTTATAACTGATGTGTAAAAATAAAAAATGATTGTATGGTTTTTTTCCAGAAAAGAAAATGTCAATAACTTCAAAACGACCCGGGGAAAATTCCAAAATAGATTCGCCTATGGCAAAATATACTACAAAAGGCGAAGTGATGTGCACTTTATGTGGAAAGATAATCAAACCAGCTTCTCAAAAGTTATGGAATGCTCATGTAGTATCTGTGAAACACAAAGAAATGGTCGCTCTTTTAAGACAAAGTGTCAATTCCAAGACTTCACAACCTTCCACAGATGTTCAACAGACAGTTGAAGATGAAAATTTAGTTGATGCACAACCAACTTATACGTTGCCAGCAGCTCCTGCTAGAGGCATCCTGAAAAACAAACGGAGACCTTCAGAACAGCCTATTGTGTTTACCCCAATTTCTAATGAAAACAGTAAAGATGGAACCGATACGACTGTTAGGCCGAACGAATGTTCGGCTATTGTATCGCCAGTTCCAGCAAAACAGGCGAAGTTAGTCCCTGCTCAGTTAAATGGCAATGTCGTAATGAGTAATCAGATAACTATTGTGAAAGATATCAAAAGTGTAGTCAGTGATGTTTCGTTGATGGAGGAGGGCGATGGTGATAACACGGAACGGGTTGGGGGTGATGTGGCTGTTGCGAACTCGGAATTGCCGGCCGGTTTCTTTGATGACCCGAAATTAGATGCGAAGGCGAGGAATGTGGAGTTTGTGGATCCCATGGAGAAAGAACTAGCGGAGTTCCAGAAAGCTATCCAGCAGGTAGTTGAATTATGAAGTATATGCTCTTTATTGTTTTTCGCGCTCATAATATATAAATCTGTAATTTACTCCTGAAATTTGAACTTTTTAGAGTAATAGTCGAATTAAACTATAATTGTTGAAAAATACATATTATGTATTTGCATTACTTTTAGCTTGTTTGTTTTTTTTTCGCACCAAACTAGTGCTGTTGACATTTGGACCTGTTGCACATAGATGTGTGGAAGTTGTGAAAATATGTGATTAGGAAGAGCTTGCCTCTGAGCAGATGCAAGTGGAGGAGGCGACACTGACTCTGCACGAGAGAGAAATAGAGCAGATCGAGGGTCAGATGAGGTACTTTGCCAGTGCGGCCACGCTGTTTGAACAGAAACGACTGCAGGAGCGAGGAGCAGCTGCAGGAACACATGCAGTATGAGGAATTAATTTTTTTTCCTGCATTTGAGTGCAAAGGCTTGCTTCTTTCGACAGTCAAAATAATAGTTGCACAGTCGAATTGGTCATTTTGTAACAATCATAGCCGGTTAATAGTGCAAGTGCAAGGGTAGCCAGTGTGTGCAAGTAGACCAAAATGTTCCAACCATAGTCGTAAAAATTACAAAAAAGTTTTTTTTTTTTCAAATGAGTGTCGTTTTTTTCGTCGTGCTGTGATAAACGGAATTAAGCATATTCGACAGTCATGGTAAAATGAGGAAATTGAAAAACAATTTTAGTAGTAAAATGTCTAGAAAAACAAAAAAAATTAAATAAAAAAATTTTCAACATTTTGAAGTTTTATTATTTTTTGAAATTTTTGGTTCGACAAAGGCGCTAAAAAACTCCATAAACTAACTTTGCTCGAGTAAAACTAAGTTTGCACGGCTTAAATTAAGCATAAATAAGCTATTGTAAGCCTACTTGCTCGCTTTATTCTCTCGAATTTTGACTAAAAATAAAAATTTTAAACCTGTTTTTCTCGATACTGGGACAATTTTTTGATTTTTTGTCGCTCGAATCACGGCTGAAAAGGCTTTAATATGATATATCACTCGACCCATTCCGATAATTATTTGTGGTACCCGATTTAGCTTCGAAACAAAAAAGAAAAAGACTAAAACACATCCGAATACAGTTCCTCCCCGTCCATTTCAATGGACGGAACAAAAAGTTTTAAAAAGCCCTAAACTTTACTTGACATTTTGATATATTTGACTATTTAAGTCATGAGTAACTGTTATCTTGAGAATGGCAGCCATTGATGTAATGGGACTTGCAGCTGTTAACGATAACGACTGCTATGCCCGCGTTCAAAATTTTTCGCAATTTTTGTTCTTTATTGGAGTGGTTGTTGCCTCACTTTTAAGCAACGAGCAACGACCATTATTTAAGTTTTTATGACTGCTTACAGGACGCCTCAGCTACAAATGACATATCAGACGTCACAGACACTTCGGCAATGGACACGAAGGAAGTGATAGCACACTTTCTCAAACTAGAAAACGAGGCCAAAGCAGAAGAGAAGCCTGACCAAACAAAGACGTTGCAAGATAACGTCATTGTGAAGCTACACGGTGCTATGAAAGACAACTCGGAGTCTAGAGATAATATATACGCTCTGAATTTTGTGAAGGATGAGCCCTCGGGATCGGAAAGCGAGGATGATGGAGATGATGTAACAGATTTGTCCGGTTTTGACATGAGTAATTGGCGCAAAAAATCTATTTTGAAATAGGCCTCAATTCAAAATACACAGTAGTAGGCGAAAATAGCGCAGCGTTCGTCGGTATTAATAGATATTTAAATAAATAAGATCAACAATTTACTGTGATCTCTAGGAGCAACAGGCGTTGAATGATCATTTGATATTACCGAGTCTTTTCAGACCATTTTTTGTTAGATTTTGAAGAAAATGGATGAAATATGATAATAGCTTGTTGCGTGAAAAGTCCTTGGCCTTGGCTGCAATGCACGATTTCCTTCATTTAGTATTTATGTTTGAAATATCGTTTGTGCTGTCAATATTTTGCTAAACTTTAGCGGCTTCTTACTCTGACCTAATAATTGTCGTTCAGCTAGTAACTATTTTAAATCAATTACTTCACCAATTTCAGGTTGAGTAATGCAATTGATCAGCTTATGAGGCTTTGAACAATTCAATCAATGCAACAAAAGTTTCAATCAGCTTATTAAGAATATGTATGCAAGTTTTAACGAGGCTATAATGAGAACGTGACATGTTTGGCTTCAGCCACAAGCATTCTACAAATAAAGACAGTTTTGGACTAGAGCAACCTGATTGGCTAATATGTCCACCAATGGCGTGTCTAAAGATGTTTTCCACCTGTTGTACCAATCAGATGACGATGAAGAGGAATTCGAGCTGCTCAATAATCAGTCGCAGTACACTAAAAGACCTCTTATTAAAAATAATAATGATAGCAAAATTTTCGTCCAAAATAATGATAAAAGAAAGTTTAAATCGAGACCTGAAGAACATCCAGTTATATCACACGATCCGAAGTTCCAAGATTCCATCACAGTCGCTTCCAGAAACGGAGTCGTCCAGATCCCGAAAGGTGCGGTGCCACCCTCGATGGTACGCAGTAGATCCTCGGGAAAAGTTGCCGAGACTAGTTTCTTCGGCTCGGGTTCCTCGGAGCTGTCTGTTGGGAGTTCGGCATTCGGAGTCAAGATATCGAAGGAGGTGTTGGCGGAAGCGGAGGAGGCAGGGGAGGAGAACTTCGTGTATAAGAAGATGCAAACAGGAGACACAATTCAGGGCATTGCACTACAGTACCACACTACTGTGAGCATAGTTTAACATTATTGTTTTTCATGTTCAACTTTTTTGAATTCAGTTTGCGAATTTAGAAGTGCTAATATTAATACAAAAAAGAGAGAGGTAAAAGATAACATTTTTTTGGCAAAGCTTACGTCACTTATCTGTTTGGTCAAGGTTGGGTCTTTATAATTAAGTGCAAAGTAAGGTAATAAAGCAAAAATTTGTGAAAGTATGAAAACGAGATTGAATTAGTGTTCAAAATTGGGTTTTATGTGCCGAAACAATGCCATGGTTTAGATAGCGGAGATCAAGCGACTGAATGGTTTGATTTCGGACCAGGACCTGTTTGGTCTGAAGCACATCAAAGTGCCCACCAGCAAACACAGTGTGCTGCACGAGACCCATTCTTCAGTCATCCTCCCCTCGCCCACCCCATCACTCGGTCAGTACAATTCACAATACATCTCAGTTTTGCATGATTTCACAAGATGCGTCATAGATTAGCTGCTCTTTTTTGCTTCAAAATAATCAAAGAAAATGACCCCAAGAAGCAGTAGCGGATTTAAAGGCCCCTACCCGCACTCGTGAATTTGGTCATTTCACCACCCAGAAGATATCCTATTTGGTACTCGTTGGTCACATCCATTGTGTCTGACCAACTCAACTGGAGCTAATGCATACATAGTTTCATTGAGAACGAGTGCAAAAAGCATTTGAGCATTATTATATCAAAGTTGCAAGTGTTGGATAGTTCTTCGTTTCCATTCAAGATGTCTTCTTGACTCGAACTTTTGTTCCCTTAACGATTTTAGAAAATGTCGGTGGGCCCATCAGATATTTAACAGCGTTTTATTGTTACAGAAGGTGCTATGTCAGTAGATCATCTTGGCCTATCTACACGCAGCAGTGACACTAGTGGAATAGGGGCTGATGTGAGGAGTGGTCGATTGAAGAGTGAGTCTGGCAGCAGTGACCACCTCAACAATCCCGCCAAGTGGCTGGAGAGCAGAACTATATCTATCAACCAGGTACCGAAATTAACAGAGTAATTAGAATAGGCGGCACTTAGCATAGTGGTAAGGCGTTCTTTTTGAGATTGTCAGATCGTGCAATCGATTCCCTGCCATGGCAATGGCAGTGTATGAGGACGAGCTCTCACTTGACCTCTAGCTTCAGGTCTACCACAGCCTGACCAATTATGGCTGCAATAGTGGTACCACGTAAAAGCTCTAGGCGCAAAAAAAACGACCTTGAGTCGCAAAAAAAGAGCTTCGCTGATTAAAATAACTCAGTCTGGAGTGTGGGGAAATAAGAGAAACGGGATATGCTTAGACAGGCTAGATAGCATTTCATAGATCCTCTGCGAATCAGAAATCACAATTAAATTTCCTTAGTAAATGAAATATTTCAGAGTGATGCGTTGCCAGCAGTCGAGAACTAGGTAGTTTTCAAATGCTACATTCAGACGCGTTTTTACACTTGCGAAGCTAGTGATTAGTACGAACCTTTTTTTTTTAACCTAAGTCGCAATTATTGGTGCGGCGCCTTAATGGTGCGACACCTTAACCGCTTTTTGATAGCATGTGCTTTGACATTCGAAAAGTAATACAATAACACAGTTGATGCATTTTTAGTTCATCAAATGAACCGAAAAAACTTTTTGTTTCAAACAACATCACAATAATAAAAACTCGATTTCAGAAATTTTGTAACTCAATATATCTCGCATATTGTAACTCAATATATTTTTTTGAAATGCATAATTTATACATATTGTGCCTAAATGCTTTGCGATTTGTTACATGTGGATGCCTTCAGTTTGTTTTACTCCAAATTATTATTTGCAAAATTGAGTCTATTTCTTTTTAGTCTAATTTTGCCGAATTGCATTGACAATTTATTAGCATATGTAGCTGCTTTATTCATGACTAGTATTTGTCGGTTGTTAAGCTTGCGTGGCTGAGGTGATAGTGCGTGAGACTCAAAATCTTTTGATTTTTTTTATTGCAGTAGGTCGCATATTCGAATCCTACACGTAGTCGAGTTTTTGCTAATTTGAGGCTTATTTCTACTTTTTCTTATTTCAATTGATAGAGCTGCTTTTTGGTCGTGTTCTCGCAAATGTTTGCGAAGCGCAGCTTCGCCTCTGTGTTCAAATAATGAAAATATCTTTTTTTACAAACAAGCTACATTTTTTGTTCAGATCAGCTCATTAAACTTTGCTGCTAGCTTTTGAGCTGTGAAAAGCGACGACAGGAAAAAATGGGAATTAATACCGTCAATTAAAAATTTAGAGCTAACTTTTGTTTCATAATTTTTTTTCTTATTTTCGGTTTGCCCTGGGGCGGATTTAAGCTTTTCTCGAGGGGGTGCTTTTTATTAGTTTTTTTTTAGAAACTGATTACCTCAACGCTCCTAGAGCAGTATTAAGACTCTATTTTGACGAAGTTTTCTGCACCGCAGGCAAACTTTTGAAAAACAAAACAGGTCAAAAAGGCAGTGTTTGGGCATTTTTTGGAAGGTCGTCCGCCCCCCCCCCCCTTAAATCCGCCTCTGGGTTTGCCGTTTTAATGTAATTTGCTTCTTCAGGGTCCAGTTACTGCAAAATTAAAAATGATAGATGATTAAGTAATGAAGTGTTATCGTTCTCATTTATATCAAAGGTCATTTTCAATTTTAATTTGGTTTCGAAAGTGTCTGTCTTTGTTTCAGGCCATGACCATATCAGCAGACCTTCTGCAGTCAGACCTGTCTGAAATGTGTTCACACGCATTCTCAAGGGCATCCTCAGTTCAGGTCATCCAGAAGTCAAGGTCAGACGCAGTCAAGCCGTCTGGTGCTGATTGGGGCATTCGGTGGCAACATGCAGTGTGCCTCATGATTCTAGTCTGTGTGGCTGCTCCTGTTGTGTACTTTTTGTACAGATTCGAAGACGACAAGCCGAGAGACTCAAAACTGAATGTGATTAGTAATACATAATCAACCAGTAGTCACTTCTAACTTCTATGTTATCACACAACACAAAAGGGCTGGCTGTGGCAAATAGAATTATTTAAAGTTTTTTGAAAGACCGATAAACATGCTTATCCCGAGATTCTGAATGTTCACTTATGGAACCAATTGAGGACGAAATATAATTTTTGAAGATATTAGTAGGCTTTTTGCTAGAGCCAGAAACTGCAGTTTTTTGTTCTGTAGTTAATGGCGTAACAGCTTTATGCGGTTGACAAGGGGCCAAACTAGGTGCAGAATGGTTGGTCGATATCAAGTTCATTCTTATTGTAATCTTTTGTAGATATATTTAAATTGTTTTATTAAATTTATCATTTTCTGTGGTGTAATTTGTTTACTTGAGGTATGCTGGTAACCGCAAACTATTTTGGTGCAAGACTTGAAATTTAATTTAGCCAGAATTTTTTTAGCCCAATCGACTATTAATTGAGAAAAACCGATAGACAAGGATGTAGTTCAGAAAAATCTTAATTAGAAGACTAAAGAGCTGACTGGATTCTTGGTAGGACAGTTATCGATTAAAAGTTGATGTCAAGCTGGCAAATTGTTCTAAAAACATGCAGATGGCTTATTCTTCAGTTTTTCTTCGCTGCAAATTGCCAATTAAAACGTATTCTGCCAAAGTGAGTTTTTATGCTCGAAATTAACGGGAAGTAGTTTTATAAGAGTAATGAGCGTAGTGAGTACTCTTACATAGGTCTTGGTGATTTTTTGTTTTTCTCAGGAAAAGTCACGGTTTTGATTTTTTACATTTTGCCTTGATTTTTTATTTAATTCACTTTATTTACTTTGTAATAAGGAAAGGAAACTCCACTACTGAACAGCAAAAATGTAAAGGCCTCGAAAAAGTAATCGACTTCTAATTTCGTAAATGGATTTTATTTAGATTCTCCAGCAAACCAAAAAGTTAACCTATTGATCCAGTTTTTTAGAATTGGGCTAGTTTTATCAAAAAATTAGGCACGAGATCAAAGAGCATTAAGGTTATAATTTTTGATTAACAATTCGAACAATAATTAGGTCTTTCCTTTTCTTGCATAACTCTTTTCCAACTGTCAGATCAGTTTTTAAGTGTCAAAGAAGCAGCATAGACACTTAAACAGGTCGAGTTGATTTTGTTATATATATTTTTTCAGGATCTTTCTCAGGATTTTTATTTGCGACGCTGTGGAAAACTTAGCAATTTGCGCGGGTTTAGTTTTTTATCAAAAAGGACTTCAAAGGTTTAAAAAAGTTTTACCAGTAGAAAAACCGTCTACGCTCTCCTCTTATGCGCCTGCATTTCCGTTAGTCTCTGTTTTTACTTTACTACACGTTCTACGGCCTTAAAATATCAAAGTGGGGATCTTCGGCCGATTTGTGTTGATTGTTTTTTCTTCTTCTGGAAAACTAACCGCACAAATCTAAGTTTGGGGTTCAATCAAAAATCACGTTTTGGGGATCTTCCCTGCATAAGCAATTTGCTATAAATATTGTCTTCAAAAAAGCAGTTTTTTTGACTACTTCGTCGTTTTTCAATACTTTTTGACCTGTTTTCGAAATCATCCTGCCAAATATGAGATTGGGGGATCAATCAAGTGGTAGGAGTTTTCTTTGCGTGAACAAGTGCACCTTAACTTTTGTAGAAGAAAGTTAGGGCTTTAGAAACGTTAGGGCCTTTTTTTCAAACTCCGAAAAACATGGTGCACAATTCTTCCCTGAATTAATGGTCTTACTTTATTTGTTGCAGGTAAGCAAGCATTGAACGGGAAGTCCATTTATCGAAATTTTTAACATTTTGGAAATTTTGTTTCGATTGGAAGTACAGGTAAGGACAATCTTCCCTGTTTAAGGACTATTACCATGCTTCAGGTTTAAGGGCTATTACCAATGCAAAGATCTTGAATTTCTGACTGTTTTTTGGAAGTTTTCCACTTCTGGAAAACTACCCAGCCGCATCTGAAATTTATAATTTTACTAAAATAACGAGAAAAAAGTTTGTCTTCTGATTGATCGGCTAGTTTTCTTTTTCAATAGAAAAAATTTAATGCTTTTGGGTAGTCCATATTTTCAAAATTTTGAAATTTACACTTAGCAACATTATTTCAAAATATTAAAGAAAATATCAAACAAGTACTTCCAGCTTTAGCTGGTCCTTTAGCTCACTTCCAAGCAGTCGCGGCGCAAATACGAGGACGTGATATTCTTATTTACAAGTCAGAATTTTGAATCCGGAACTTTGAAGTATTTTTTTTTATTATTTTGTGGCCCTTTTGCTGCAAAAAATTGGTAATTTGATAGCAATTTTAGCTATTGGATTGGTAGCAAGTGTTTCTAATTTTTTGCTATTGCTTAAATTTTGAGACAAAGAAAAAAATATTGGGAGAAGTTTGTTTGTGCTCCTCTGAATGTTTTTGTTGTTCCTGCTACTTTTTTAGTTTTCGGGCTTGTGGTTTTTTTCTCCGGTGTGGAAAATAGACGACTTTTAACTAGCAAATTTTGAGGATTTTTTAAAAAGAATTATTGGAAAAGTTTTGCTGTCATGAGCTCAAATTTAAAAGGTTTTTCGTTAAGCTATAAGGGTTTAATGATTGCTAAATTTGGACAATTAATGCGCGATATGTTTCGTGCTGAAGACGCGTAAGCGGATATAAAGTCTTAAAAAATGTGCTAAATTGGGTTGAAGCATGCTATTTGGCCTCTTTTGTTTTTTACTATATGCAAAATGGCCTCTTTCGTTTTTTACTATATGCAAAATATCTTTCGTACTTTACACGGCGTGTGGTGGATGATTTAAAAAAATTCAACATTTTTTTGAAAATTTAGTTTTTTTTTGTGGAAAATTTAATCAATTAATTTTATTTAAACTAATCCATAGAAATTAAAATGCAGCAGGAACATTCATTGTTTTGACCTGATACGATCAGTTTTGTTTGGTTTTGTTATTTAAATATTGAAGATTGTAGTTCGTTATGCTTTCTTCTAGTTCTTTCAATCATACTACGCACAAAAAAAACTCAATTTCGAAAGAACAAAAATGGGAAAAGTTCTAATCCCACAACAATGTGCTACGCTTGTGAAGGTTTGACCTAGAAAATTTTTGCGCTCATTTTGAACAAATTGATTCAACTTAATTTGCAGCTTGAATTGTAGTTTCATAAGGGGGTTTTGTTTTTGAGATTACCCAGCCGAAGTTCACTGGAACTAATAATATATCGCATGAGCCAGTCTTCTCATTTTTGGTTAATGCTTTTGTACAATAGCAGGACTTCGAAGTTCAAATAGGACATAAGAGATATAGTTTATTCCTGCAAACTCAGTTTCCTCCAGTTCATTGCCACTTTTGTGGCCATTTTTTGTAGGTTGATAGCTGAAACTCGGGATTTATAATATCCCGGGTTAACCTCCATACACCAAAAGTCCTTATCATACAAATTCATACATTAAAAGTGCTGATCATACTATTCCATACATTGTGTTGTGCAAACATTTAATCGTAAATTCTTGGCGCACAGACAATTCGGCCAAAAACCATTCGGAAAAAATGAAAGCGTTGGTGCGACTGCGACTGCCATTCTTACTGGCCGTTTTGTCTCTCGCTGAATTTGTTATAAATTTTTGGCCAAATTTTGAATCGGCTGAATTGTCGTTGGGCGAGTTTTCTGGGCGCGCAAATGCTTATCAATCAATTTTTATGGTTCCCAAGCTTATAACCCCGCGTTTTAACCCCCTTTTTCTTAACCTCGTCTCATATAACCACCTGTACAATTTAACTCCTTTTTGTTACCAACTGCTGGAATCAAATTGAAACTTACTTGATAGGGAAACATAAAGTCGGTAAATTTCAAAGCTTTATCATGCGCGCTGCTATAGCTTACAAGGAAATTATCGGTCAACGTATTAAATTTCTGAAATGATTTTGACCTTCAAAATTAAGCTTAATCAAAATATAGAGAGTTGCAAAAAGTTTGGACATACAAAAATAATTAAAAAGAGCAATCTGCCAATTTTGAGCAATTTTTGCATGCAAATTTGAGTTTTGAGGTAACATTGAGACATACTTTCTGTCTGAAAAATTAGCGTTTGCATGCAAAAATTGTCTAAAAAAGATTATTTGCTCTTTTTAATTATTTTTGTCTGTCCGAACTTTTTGCTACTAATTATACTTCTTTTAAGATTTCCGTTTGCTTTTTTGTCGAAACTTTATGTGGTTTCTTTCTGAAAATATTGCGTGGCAAGTTGTTGTTGAATGAAAATTTTTTTTTAGCTGTACTCTTGAAATAAGGCAAAAAACAATTATCCGTTAAAGCGCAATCGTTTTGCATTCTTTTTTTGTCAAGTCAAATGCAGTTTTGAAATCTCGATTGCAGTTTCAACGCCATTTCATTTTCTCAAGCTCAGAATTGTTTCAAAAATTTAAAATGTTGTCAGATAAATTTTTTTAAGCTGTAAAGAAAGTTGCAAAAAAATTGGACAAATTTAATTGAAAAGAGCAATCAAAACTTTTTGACAAAATTTTGAATGCAATTGCGTTTGTTAGACAACCTTGAGACACAAATTTAGACGAAAATAAGATTTTGAATGCAAAATAGGTCAATTGCACCTTGGAATTAATTTTGTGTATCCAATTTTTTTGCTGCTAATTTTATAGTTATATAGAGAGTTGCAAAAAGTTCGGACAGACAGAATTAATTGAAAAGAGCAACTGTCTAGACATCAACGGAAATTGAAACTGAAATAAACATAACGTCGAAAGATCATAAAGCAGAGTTTCGCTCAAAACTTATAACCACGGCGGGCAATTGCATCCGAAGCGTCAATTAGCAGGCCTTGAAACAGGAAAAACATTGCTCAGGATGGCTGATGTTTTTCTGCGATTATTTTCCAAAATTTGAATAATTTGATCATCTTTACTTCCGTTTTTCTGGGGGGTGGGGGTGGTGTTTAATTGTTGTTTTTTTTGTAGTTAAAAAATAACTCTAGATTTCAATTTTTTAACTAATTTTACGAACTGTTTCATAGTAAAATCTGGATGTTCATCGCAGTATTTAAAAAATAGGCTAGGATAATCATCGGATAATCGACGATCATGCATTTTGAATTTGGTTTGACAAAAAATTCAAGGTTGTTCGGCTTCAGATTTTGCATGCAAAAAAGAATCGAAAAGCACTGATTGCTCATTTTAATTAATTCTGTCTGTCCGAACTTTTTGCTACTAATTATAGCAACACCTTGTCGGTCAACGAATCTGAACGAATTATTTAACATAAAACAGCTCATTTTGACGTCAGATTTCTGTAAAGTCAGTTTTTGTCCCAAAAAAACTAATTAACTTATACTGCTATATATTTGACCGTTAAAATTGCTCAAGGTCACCAATATTGCCAAAATTATACAGAAAATTAAGCAAGAGATAGTTCGATTATATTTTCAAGTTGCTAGATTCGAGGAAAAAGCCGGAATTGGAGTAAATTATCGGTTTAGGGTCGCTGGCTCTATATTTCGTATAGAGTCCTACCCTCTGTTGGCAAGCTCGCAACACATTACCCTGGCTGTCAAAACTACTGGCTGAGTTGTCTCCGAATGCATTGTCTGCATACTTTTGACTGATGTGTCTGAATTTCACAACGGCTGAATTGACTTAGACCGAATCGTCTGGGCAACTGAACTAGAAAACTTTTCCGAAGTTATGAGATGGTTTGAAGTTATGGTATGATATAAATATTCAGAGAATAAAATTAAATTGATAAGATTAAATACTTTTGTCTGCACCAAAGATTTATAATTTTTTTTTTCAATTTTGCAAATATTGCAAAGTGTTTTATTGTTAGTCAAAATCAAATAAATATTATTATAGATTTGAGTTTTTATTATCGCTCAAACAGCTGCTACAGTTTACTGTGATAGCTCAAACAGCTGATAAAGCTTACGTTATATTTCAAAGGTCTCTAAGTTGGCAATTTCCGTACCATGCGATTAAAAAATGTTAAGCAAAACTGAGTTAATCGTAGCTTGAATCTTAAATCATATATGGGGTAGACTAGACTATGCGATTTTCGAAGTCATAGCGCTGATGTAATTATTGTTCCGACTTTCGAAGAAAGTGAGGGAAAAATATGCCCGGGTGGTTTTTACTCAGACCATTTTTAGAAAAGTTTACTGCGTATGGGCATCGATCCGATAATTTTTGAATGCCAAACGAGTATGCTTGCTCTTGACTAAAGTGCGGCTTTTCTGCTGGAATAATGTTTTGATAGTTTTTTTTCAATACGTAATTCATTTATGCGTGGCAAATTATCCGCGCTCATCAGTCCAAAATGAATAGAGGCAAGCTAATTGGCCCCATTAATTGCATAAACGACTCATATCTTAGCACTTTGATATGATTCGAGTAGTTTGTCAAAATCTAAACAATGTCTTTTGCCAAAATATCATATACCAACAACGATTCGAAACCAATTAATGAGCAGTCTTGTTTCATAATTACTGGTAAAGTTAGATAGCGTACTATAAAATGTGAAATGTATACTCATTTCTCGTGTGCGTAGCGGTCAAAACCATTTTTTTCTCTTTTTTCTCCTAAATCAAACAGAGTGTATGACAGTCGTGTTGAAAATAATTAAGATCTTGTTAAATATATGCTCCACTATCAGTACCGTGCCGGGGGGGGGGGGGGGGCTTCCCCCTCAATTCTGGTTGTCAATTTTTCATAAAGGGTCCCACCTTTGGTATAATTTCACGACATCATTTTTTGGCTGATGAACCTCAAAATTTTTTCTAACGGTGCCTTTGGACCCAATATAACTAATTTTGAGGGGGAGCGCGCGCTCAAGAAAACACAGTTTTTTGGTCAAAATTTTGCAAAAAGTGCCTAAAAAAGTCTTTTTGGGCCTGTTTTTTGAAAAAATTGGCTGCTGCACTGAAAATTTTCGACAAAAAGGGTATTTACAGTCCTTTTGGCGAGCTCGGAAAATGGACTTGGTTGAAATAAAAAAAAAGTCGGCAAATTTTTCAAAATTTTTCGAAAAACCGCCATCCCCCTGGAAAAATTTCTGTGCACGCCACTCTACTTTTGTACCTTGTAACGAAATGGCCCCCCTATAAAGAAAGAATTGAAAAGTTAAGCATATACGAATTTTAAACCAAATAGTTTCGCCAAATTGGAGTCAATGTTCATAATTGAATAGACTGTTGAGGTCAAATTTTGTGAGGACAAACTTGACCCAATGGTGCATGTGAACGACGCTTGAGAAGTAGCTTCCGTCGTTGCATTTTTCACCTTTGCGAGTTTTCGATTTGGAGTAACTGGCCACACCATAAAGACAGTCTGCTACGCCGGTTCCACATTGTAATGTGTATAAGGGACCTCCGTCGTCCAAGTAGCAGATGTTGCTTTTAGTTGACGTCGGAGGAGATTGCACGCAAACTTGGTCTTCTCTAAAGTATTAGCAATGATTCAGCTTTATCAACAACCATTTTCCTCAACAACTTTTAGAGCAAACTATGAGGTATAGTTTGAACTGTTATCGAGATATCAAATATCCGAAAGTAGCCGAATGTATTTTTAAATCGAAGAAATTTCAGCCGAGATTCATGTTTCAAAGCAGTATATGAAAAATGAAAAAAAAAAAAAACTTTTTTCCAACACACACGTCTCAAAGCTTTCATTGCTAGAAAAAAATTGAGCCTAAAATTAAAATAAAAAAGCATAAGTTAAACGTTTTTGATGGCTTCGAATCTGACCTGCATTTTTTGATGCCATTTAGTATAAACGGGTTAATTGATTCGAAATCGTTCGTTTGGAAGTGCGCCTCATGAAGTATGTCGGGGAAATCGAAGGTGCGACCGTTTGTTGACCCCATCCCACATGTGCGCACAGGGCTTCCATGAATAAGTTTGGATGAACACAGTGGGATTATTCTCGCGCGGTCGGAGATTGGCCTCTGCAGTTGCAACATTGCAATGTCATTTTTTATTGTCACTGCAAGGTATATATTATGTCCTTAAAGTTGCCCTTTAATTCAGATTGTCAATAATAGGTTCAGAGTACAAACGCTACGGAGAGAAAAAACTATTAGAGACATTATTCACGATTGCGCTGAGATTCAAAAACACTCCTTTGGCAAATGATAAAGTCCATTTTGCTAATTTGATAAGTAAACTTAGTTTTAAGATTGACATTATATATACGCTTCAGCACCATTAAATAGTGATCCCGATGACTCCAGCAGATACCTGAAAGAGTATCTGATCAAAACATTGACCAAGTGCAGGTCACAATCTGAACAAAATGTTGACAAATCTGCCCTTCAGTTGGACTGATGAAGTTAGTTGTGTATTGTATGATGTCACTAACCCTTCAGGTTTCTCAATGCGCACCACCTTGAAGATCTCTTTCTCTGAATGACGAACATGGAAATCCCCGACCGTCAGAAAAATATCCTCTAAAAACAAAAATGAGGAAAAAAAAACTCTAAATATTAACTCCTGGGAAAGAGAATTGGATTTTTCGTGTAAACCGTCCGTACAAAAAATTAAGTACCGTTCTTACAAATGAAACTCAGACTTTCGATTTTTAAAATTCTTTATTTAGCAAATTTATAAAAATAGCAAAAAAATATTTCATTAACGTTTAAGGACAATCGGAACCCCCCGAGTTTCTCTAATTGCTTAAACAGAATTATCCACATAAAAACCACAAAAAGTTGGCCTCACCATATTTCAATGAGATTCAACAAGTGAAAGAAACTCAGCAGTGACGTCGATTTAAAAAACAATTTAAACTAGTTGTAAGTTATGCGAAAACAAAAAATATATCGCGCGTTACTTGTCCAAATTTAACCTAACTAATTACCGTTGAGCCCCCATAACTTGGCAAAAATTAGTATTGATTCTGAGCTGAAAAAATCAATATTTTTCAGATAATACAAAAAAAAAACGTTCAAAAATGGCCTGTTAAATTTGGTCTGATTTGGTGAAGCTGAATCTGGTGTGCCTAGGAGCTGAATTTGGTCTGAATAAAGGAATCACATCAAGCGCAACAATTCAGTTTTTTCTTTTTCAAAACTTGGAGCACAAACTGTTTCAATTGTATGGTTTATAATTATTTTTTGTCTGTAGAAATAAACATTTCATATTTAAACTTTTCTGGTTTTGTTTTTTGCAGCTTTTCAGGTGCGTTTTTTTATTAGTTGCTGGTGTTATTGGTGCAAGTGTTTTGTTGAGAAAATTGATTTTTTGATGAAATTTTCAGAAAAAACGTAGCATTTAGTTAACTCAACAATCAGTTAATAAAAATGAAATTTTTTTGTTTGATGGCAATTCACGCTTGCAGCAAAATATTTAGATTTTAGTGAAATTAGTTGTTTATTTACTTTATAGACAAAAATACTCAAATAACATATTTAAAATGGGCATCACTGAAAGTATAGCTAGTTCTAGAGATATTTTTTTCGATTAACAAATAGAATTTTTTTGATGCCTTGAAAAAATTATAGGGCTTATCTGATAAATGAACAGTTTTACTATCACAATAAGTAATATAGAAAATAAAAATTAAAGACAAAAAATAATTTCATGTTTTTACAATTTTCAATTAATTAGCAGTTTTTTTTCTTTTTTTGTTCCTAAAATTTTTCTAAAATTAAAATATAAAATACTTTATAGAACGACTGCAGTGGTTAAAAGTGGTGTTCTAATAAAACCTTTTCATCTGTTTTTAGGCTTTCAATTTTTTTTTGTAAAAGATCTGCATTGAGATAAACTGGTCTGGATTTTTTAGTTTTGGAAATTAAATGACAAGAACTTTGATGGAACATTGAACATTCAATTTCTTTTTTTTTGTTTTTTCATTGTTTTAATTGTCTATGCATCTCATTCCAGCAAGTTTCTCAAAATACAATTTCGCTTTTTTTCTATGAAAAGAAAACAAGGTTGACTTTTAAGATGAATTCCTGCTATTTTACTGCTTTTAATAAGAAGGGTCAAAATTCTTTAGTAAATACCATAATAGCGGGTAAGAGTTTGTTCAGTAGATTTTGATTTGCCTAATTTTTTTTGTTTTTCGAAAAAAAAATTCAAACGTCAAAACATCGCTTATCAATTCCCTGAAATTATTATTAAAAACTTTTGATAAATGAACGATTATAATAAATAAAGTAAAAATAAAAAGTAAGGAAAAGTTAAACAATTTAAGAAAAAATGCTTTTATCCGTAAAGTCAGTCTTGTTCTTTTTTCATTCATAGACAAAACAGAACTTAAAACACTGCAAGAACGAGAGGCTAATATTGTGAAGAAAATAAAAAAGCGCAAAAAACCAAATTAGGTATTCAATATTTCATTAAAAGTCAAGTATTTTGCAAACCTGAAAAATACAGACCAGTATTTCTCTTCGCGGACATTTTTTATTTACTTTGGAAAACCAAATCATATGTGAAAGGACTAACCGGTATTCAAATCCCTTTTTGTAAAAATTGAGCACGGGTTAGTTCAAACAAATTGGTCGAGCAAAAATGCTCAGGACATGAATACCTTTAAGATGGTATAAAACAATTTGTCAGAAGTGGCCTAGATAAAAAATGAAGTTGTTCAAGCACAATTATTCCCTCCTTTCCTTGCAAGCAGCAACAATGGGCAACTACTTTTCTGTTCTGTGCTGTTTTTTTTTGTAAGTTTGCCAACAATAATTTGAAGGAAAAAATAAAAAAAATGTCCACTTTCATGTTCTGCTTAGAACAGGCGTGGGCAGCATTTACTTTTTGTGCTTATTCTGGAAGAAAGCGATAGAAAATTTAAAGGTAGTTTTTTATTCTTGAGACAAATGCCGTCAAAAATGAGTCATTTTTGACAAGTTTTTTTGTACCATGTGAAAGCTATCAATGTCTTGAGCATTTTCATTTGACTAATTGGTGATAACTAACTCTTCTGGAAAAACGGATTGTAACATTTCCAATATGGTTTGCAAACTTTCGATAACTAACGCGCTATATATTTCGTGCGATTGATGAGCCAGCCAAGTTTGCTCCAAAATGAATAGAGCATGGCGATTTGATCTATCATTTTGTAACTTACATGGCATCTTCAGTTATGATTTTTCAAAAAAAAAATGTTAAAAAATTGTTCTTAATTTGAAAATTTCGAATTTTTTTGTTAATCAAAAATATTATTTCATAGACTTCCCGATTCGACTTCCATACATTTGTCATACAATTCAATTCGAGAAAAAGGTTTTTTCTACGGTATATGGAACAGTGGTCAGTGTATGAAACAAATATTTTCATACCGTTTTATATAAGAAAGTTGTATGATAAGCAATTTTTACAATGAAATTTGATTAACAAGTTTTTGTCCTAATATTACTTTAATGCTGAAATAAGCATTTTTTGAAAAACATTAAGCAAAACTTCGATATTTTTGTCTATAACGTAATCCAGGCTTAGACAAAAAAATGACTTCTGATGTTTTTATAATGTAAGATACACTGCGACTTTTTTCGACTAGTGAAGCTTCTCGTTAAAAACTTTTCAGCCATATACAATTTTTACAATGCTGCAAAAATTTTTACAATTAGTTTTCAATGAAATTTGATTCACAAGTTTTAGTCCTAATATTACTTTAATGCTGAAATAAGCATTTTTTGAAAAACATTAAGTAAAACTTCGTTATTTTTGTCTATAACGTAATCCAGGCTTAGACAAAAAAAAATGACTGTTGATGTTTTTATAATGTAAGATACACTGCGACTTTTTTCGACTAGTGAAGCTTCTAATAAAAAACTTTTCAGCCATATACAAAAGTATAAGATTTTTGTTCATGGCTCTCAGTGAGCTATGAAATTTTATTTCTAATGCTCAATTAAAACTCAATTATTAAAACAAATACTCAAGTTCCAAGTATATGTGAGATATTTTCCCCTGACCCAATGGAGATTTTTGTTAGAAAATTGTGGCTACTGTGTTTTAGGACAAAACAAAAAAAACTCGAAAAATTTTAAAGTTTTTGTTTATAAAAATTGTTTGTCATATAATTCTTATTTTTAGACTTGCGGTTACCAAGCGTTATCAAACTGGATTATAGACTTTTTTGGGCTAGCAAATTGTTTAACAGAATCTCTTGAATCTTTTGGTATTTGGCATTTTGGCTCATAATAAATTCAGATAGCTAAGCGTCTTCGGCACACATAGTCTGGAGGCAGCGAATACGACTGGAACGACAAGAGTCTTGGGTTTGAATCTGACCAGGATATGTTTTGTTTCAAACGGTAAATTCTCCGTTTCAAAAAATTGTCAGCTCAATATTTTTCTGCTTATTATTTGGCTGCTTGTGTTTTGTCGTCGTAGTTGCCACGTTTTGGATTTTTTTTCTGCATGCACTTTTCATTGCAGTTGACTTTCATGTTTTCAGTTACTCCTGAAGTTTGTATTTGTAATACCCTTCGTATAATTTCCTTTTTTGATTGTTTTCGCTTGAAAAAATTTTCCGCCCTTTTGATTTCGGCTCATATTTTATCGGCTTACTCACCTAATTTTGGGCCACTCGAGGGCGCCATAATTTTTAAGCTTTCTTGCGGATTGCACAAAACGTTAAAAGTCCCAGAATAGAATTTTTAATTCAAAGCTTTTCACCACAACAATCTCATTTTTGCTCAAAAGTTGTTTTTGAATTTTCATTAAATGCCGTCTAATGTGTTTCTTGATGTATTTTTTTGCAAATAAAACATCATTCCAGAGACAACATTTTGAAGTTTTCTACATTTGCTTATAAGTATAAGACCAAGGCAGGTGAAATACCCAATAATTGGAAAGTTGGGTGAGTTGTCGATGTTAAACTGGAGAAACGAGGCATACCGATTACGATTTTTTTTTCTCCCACCCATTTTTTTTAAACTAACTCTACCGTCTTGTGCTCAAACGATTACCTAAATTCTATTTAAACTTGCTAAGTTATGACTTTTATCGCAATCAAAGTAGCCAAAGTAGCCAAATCTAATTAGCCAAATAAGTGAGAGACGGTATAGAAAAACGTACAGCTCATTCTTACTGAAAGTTTGTGGTTTGCACCTAAATTGAATTCTTGTTTTTGCCGTATCTTAACATTACCAATGGAATTTTATCTACGACGCGGCTGAGTGTCATACCTGGTTTGCCCAGAACACAATGTGCTGCCGTGATGACCCACAGTGGAGCAATGATTGCACCTCCACACATATAGACCGAATTTGTGAATTGAACTCGCACATAGAACCTTCTGTTTGGGCTCGGATGTCCATTAACAATTAAAGAACTGACCCCATTTCCAAGAGAATTCGGAGATAAAAAATCATTTATTTTATAAGAATTGGGTTGGCAGTATATTGTGTTTAAAAGTATCAAACTATTAACTATGTAATTTATTGCCATTTTTGATAAATATGCTTGGAATTCATGGCAGAACTCCGTATGCTTTGGTCATAATTGAATAAATTTCACGATGAGTTTGAATTTGGTTAGAGTGTTACAAGTACTAAGTACAGTAACTGTGATCTTTGGTCATTTAGCAGGCGATCTTATGATTTAATTTCATGGAGATATCTGCTAAGCTGTACATTCCTTTTCATTTTTCAGTTTCAATCTTCTTTTAAACATATTTCCGCTCTAACATGAAAACTAAATCACAGCAAAGATTTTAGACCGACCACTGATGAAAACAATCACCGAAAACAATTAAAAAAAAACTGATCACTACCGAAAAAAGTTCAAACTGATCACTACTTTCAGCTTGATCGGCTATGCTATGCTATGTTAAATTGGAAGTGGTGCGTTTCACCTCGTTGTATATTATTAATTGATCTTTGTCTTGCATTTTATGCACCTCTGACTTAAACAATGACTTTTATGGGGGCCAACCTTTTACCAGACAGACCTTTTACCAGAATCGATAAATCAATTTGATTGACAGATGCAATGACGCCATTTAATTTTTTTAAAGACAATGTTTTCACGGTTTCTCAACAAAAATTCGTTTGTTCTAACCACTTCCTTTCGAATCTTCCATTAATTTAAACTTATCTTAATTTGAATTATTGAATTTTGGTCTAGTAAAAGGTCAGTCTGATAAAAGGTCGGTCTGGTACAAAAAACCTAGCCCTAACTTTTTTCCAAACTGTTCAGAACACCGAAATATTACTATTAAGTAGAAATATTACTATCTGCTGTTTTTTCCTATTTGAAATGCTGTGTGTAACCGACATCAAATGCACCAAATGGAGGTATAACCGTTTTAGAACATTTTCGTTCGTGATTTGAACTACAAAAAAAAACATTCTCAAAAAGCTGTCAGTAATACACAACTTGGAAAACTTGAAAAATCGTATACAAAGAAAATAAATTATTTTTTGTTCCTAATTTTTTTGCTTTCTTTTACAAATAGGAGCAAGATTTAAATGTTCTCAACAACTTGCTTTTTAAACATTTGCGTTCTGAAGTTTAGCAACTTGAATCAAAAGTAAAAGAATTTTCAAAACTTTTAATTGACTTTTTCGTTGTATTCGAAATAAAACAATTTGTCAATTTCTTCCGCAATGACAGTTATTAGAATTTTTATTATTTTTCAATTAATCTTCCCGAAAATCTATATTTCTGAACTGAAACTATTTTGTTTCAACCTGATTGGCTGGAAATTTCAGCACTATCTCAATAAGTTTTGTTCACATTGTTGGGCCGACATGTAAGCAAGCTGAATCAGCCAACATTGTGGAAATCTTGGTAAACTAGTCAAAAAAATTTCAAATAAGCTGCAGATTTTTACCCATACCAATAAAAAACAGAAAGAAAACTCCAGGATGAAACTATCACAAAATTCGGCCTTGTTTGAAGTCGGCTAGAGAACAAAGTCATCGCATCTGTGTTAACCAAAACCAAAGCAATCAGTGCGATCGGTGTTTTGCTCTCTGCATTAATTCATTGAATATTGCAAATCTCCAAGTTAACAAGTTTGGGCGGAATAAGTAGAAAGACCCAAATGAAACTAAAATCAATCATAATTGAGGCAAAAACGCATTTCTTAACGTGTTCAAAATATAACAGAATGCAAAATTGTTTTTATAGAATAAAAGTAATTCAAGAAAAACTCAAGTAATTGTAAAGTTTGTCGATCTTCCGAACAAAAAAAAAGCTCAATCATCATTTAAAAAGTTTCAAACTGAATTATTCAAAACAGTTTACACATAATTCTGAAATAAACATAATAATTATGATTACTAAAAAACAAATGAGTATACATCATAACAATAACAATCTTAATTAGAAAACTGCTCAGATCACCACCAAGCCTTGAAATTTCCGTTCGCCCTTTTCTAGCTTTGAATATTTTTGGCAACGAAATTTTAATGAACAATAACATATGAGCATCGATTGTTTTTTTTAGGTAGCAATCATAAATTTCGTCTAGTGATATGAACTTTAGTCGTGTATGAAATTAATTTGATCAATTAGAACTTCAAATTAAATTGGGTTGACTTTGAAAGCTAGATAATTCACCTCGCTTTAATAAACGGATCTACTTAACAATTGCCCCCTTTCATTGTTAAGTAGATTAAGTTGTCGAACTTTCGACCAATCAGATTGCAGCAAAATTCAAATTTTAAATGCAACCCTCTAGTGCTAAGTTACTGCTTTTGTTTATAGGGGTGGCAATTCTGTAGTAGATACCAAAGGGAGGACAATTGTTAAGTAGATCTATAAAAATTGCACTTCAGTTTTTTTGATTTTAGTCAATTTTTGATGTTTTTCCCTAAAAACAAATCGCCCAAAGTTGAATCTAATTACAAATCAATCTAATTACAACCTCAAGATGGCATACTGTGAAAAGTGCGCTATTTTTTTATTTATACAAACGGTCAAACTATTGAAGATTTATCGCATTAAGAACCCGTTTACGGAGGAAACCAAGAAGTTGAAATAACTCATCAGAGAGTTCGTTCTACTTCCTTTGAGCAGTTTAAATGATCGAAAAAACCATGAACACTGAAACAGAAATAGAACTCTTATCAAAATTACACGTTAAGAGTCATTTTCTCCATTCTATTTGTTTCAAATAATAAGCCTTGTTGTTGGCGCGTCCTTTTTTAGAAAAAATTTGTACAAATTATCTATTCCTATTCTTTGAGCTCAAAAGTTAAGTTTCTTAGTTCGTTTGCTTCTACACTGGAGTTCATTAGTGTTTATATTGTTCCATTGTATGAAATATCCATAGCCTCAATCAACATGTGTTGTCACTTCTCCATCGAGAGTTTCTTCTTGAGTGCCCAGTCTGAGAACTCGTCGAACAGGATGAATCCTCCCCCGTTGGCGTCTATCTCATCGAACACCTTCCTAGGGTTCTTGATGTCCATACCCCACTGCTTCAACAGACCCAGAGCGCCCTCGAACTCCTAGGAAGAACACGGCCAGTGAAGTTAAGCCTTACTGCTTCAAGAACAGTTTCAAACGAAATAAATCTCTAGCCCCAATGCGAAATAAGAACATCAAAAACGAATGTACAGCAGTCTAAGTTAAGCAAAAATGAACATATATGAATCAGTAAGTCAGTATTAATGAGTTCTTTACAACAGTATACTACACCATTAACCCCCCCCCCCCCGGACCTATTAAGAGAATAACTTGCACAATATGGCCTTACAAATAAAAACTATCTTCTTTTTTTTGTATTCTGGCGTGAGACTTTTCTTTCATAAGCTTGACTTTGCTGTTTGCATCACTAACAAAACGATAATCCATGATGCGGGTCGAGGTAGTCGTTTTATGTTCAGACAGTGGGACCAAAACGTAATTTGTTCAGTTTGAGAGGGGGTATATTTATGCAGTCGCCTGTCTTCCTCGACACACTTCTGGATCATTATGAGCCATACGGATTCTGGGAGGACTATTTAGAACTGTGGAAACCGAAAAAAAAATCATTTCAGATTCTGGGAACCAAAATTATCCGCGTTGACTTTTCCGAAGATTGATTTTGTCAATGATTTATTTCCCGAAGCTTGAAGAATCAAGTTCACATGTATTTCGAAATGAACGTGTTTACCTCGTAGTTGATGCGGTCGTCGTCGCTCTCGTCGATTTCGTCGAACATGTTGTAGAGTTCGAAGTATCTGAGGAGATAAGAGCAGAGGAGTCTGAACTCATTCCTGTCTATGTAGTCGTCACTGCTCCCTTTCGTCTTACTCACTCCCTTAGCCGCATTAAACGCCCTAGAAAGTAACAATTTAAAAATCTAACGCTCGTTTATCTAATGACTTATGAAGGATAACAAATTGACTGAGTTGTTCTCAACGAAATCGCAATACCTGCCACATTACAGGTTTTTTTTTGTTAAGAACAATTGGTCGCGCAAGTCTGGACATAAAGTCGTGAAAGTCTGTGTGCAGATTTTCGCGACCCATGTTCAGACTTTGCCGACCAAATTTTGATGTGTCCAGACCTTCGCAATCCACGGCGCGAATCATGTCCAGACTTTCCAGACTCAAACTCTCGGCACGACTATGCAATTTGGGTCTGAATCCGGATGTGGCGCGAGTCTAGACATGAATCTGGAACCTCGACCCGGGAAGCCATCAAATTTAGATCGACTTTGAAATTTAGATCGAAAGATTCAATGCACAAATCGAATATTCTTGTTATTTTTTACAACTTAAAAAATTTTTAAGTTTCTTATTTTTCATAAAACGTCAAAAATAAGTCTCAGAAAAGTCTTTTCAGAAAAACGATCGAAAAAAACTGAATTGCTCATTGACTAAATTAACTCAGGTACTGAAATTTTAATTTGGTGTAGTCAACAGAAGAATTTTTTTGGCTTTCCATACGCTTAAACAGCACAAAATAGCGCTCTTTCTTATCCCAAACTGGCTATTTTCAAACCTTCATAACTTTACGAAAACTATTCGCCTGTAAATTAATTTTGTTTGATTTTGAGTTACGGAAATTAGTCTTTTTCAGACCTTATAAAATATACCGTCAAAAATGGCTAGTTAACAAGTCTGGAGAAGAAGTCACCCCGAAAACAAATAATCCGTCACTTTCTTTGACATGCGGAAAAATAAGCTGTGTCTTCTTACATATTCAGTTCTGAAAATTTTCTTCCGTATAGTGAACTTTACAATGATTTGTTGTCGTAGATTCCATAGTTTCCGTCATTGGCATTTTAGTGATCACTCGGTTCGTTATTGGCAGCGGAACAGATGTTGGTTTCATTATTTTCTTATTTAAAAAAATTTTTGTCAGGGTTAAAAAAATTTCACTGTTTTACAATTTCATGTCCCGCCTGGAACTTTTTAGCTTTATTTTTAACAAAAATTGTCTCCTATTTTCTTAAGACATGAGGGCGAAGCAGTTTGTTTCTGAAAAATCAACAAAAATATAGTAATTTTTTTAAAAAGATTTTTGGTCAAAGTACAGAGTGATGTTTTTTGCGTCTTTGCGTTTAGTAAAGTAATAGTTGAATCAAATACCTTGCCTCAATTAAATTTGGAGCAGTTTGTGAGCTCGTTTAAAATGCCGCTTAGAGATTAACAGCACTAAAATTCTCGAGTGTTACTTGCCCGAAACTAGCCAAAATGACAAATTTCAAGTGCTCATAACTTTGCAAGAAATCACCACTGCTAAACTGTTGTTAATAAAATTGAGCTCAAGTCCTCACGGTGATAGTCGAATCCAACATGCCATTTAAAAATTGTTGTTCACTCAATTTTGTACTTTTGAAGAGTGTTATATTAACTTGATGGGGGAAAAAGTGAAATTGTTTGCTTATTGAACAGTTTTTATCATACAATGAAAAAAGACTGCTCGTATCAGGGCAAAACCATGAATATTCCGACTGTCTTTTAATTGGTCTCGGATAATTTGGTAAAATGAATATTGGCAAAACAAGGAATTTAAGGCTGATCATATTAAAATTTAAGTGCTACCATTTGAGTCATGTTTAGAATTGATAAAATCAATTAGCTGCCTCAATTCAATTTGTAACCATTGTATAAAGTCGGATAATTCGCCACGCGTGTAAATTATATAACGAGTAGTTTAGACAGACTCGTGGCTGGTTACTATAGTGGTGTGCACTCTCGGCTGGCCAGATGCAGATAGAGATATCAACCCCCTGAGAAAAAAGAGTTTTAAAAAATTGGTTTGATTAAAAAAACACCCCGAGCATATATATTCCTCTCTTTCTTAGAAAAATTTGTTTCAGAACTACTGTTTCTGATTTTTCAGAAAATTGTTTGTCGAAATAAGTACAGTTTGACAGTCATCTGCGGTGTGCCTCTATAGTCCATAGGAAAAAGAATAATTGTTTTTTTTTTGTCATCCGACACGGAGGCCTAACCGGAAGGTTACTTATTTTGGCTGACAAGATCGCATAAATCAAGCGCACTTTAAGCTATGACTTTCTTGCAAGAGCCCACAATGCAAATAGCAGCGCACGTTCCATTTGAACCAGTAATCATATGGTTGCAGTGCACCATCACCACCAGATCAATGCCAAATCGAATAGTATATATACAAAAATAAAATTGAAGCCTTTATATGAAAAATTGGGCTCTTTTCTAACTTGCCGCCCCATCACAAAATTACAAAATAAATTTCATACGCACATACATTTCGCATGTAAGCAATGTGGTGAAAGTTTGATGAACTGTTCACGCTGACTCTTTTTAATGCAGCTTATAACATGAAAAGTCATTTTCAATAAACCTTAATATATTGAATTTCAAAAAAAAATCAAAGAGGCGACTGAAAATATCCAAAAGTTCTTTTGATGCTTTCAGTGCAGTTTCCGCATGAAATTTATTTAACAATTTCCCCCTTTTCAGAAAGGGGGGTTAATGAGTATAATAAGTTGGTTATACTCGCACCGAGCTCCCATCGATCATATTTGATTATATTGTTATTATACGGCCAGTATCTACAAAATTACTAAATAATTGATTATAATCCATTAAAAATGGGTGATAATCCTAATATTTCTTATATCAGTGTTATCCATTATATTCCATTATTTTTGTCACTTCGTTTAAATTTGGTGTTGAGTAATACTCAGACGGTGGTTTCGATAAGTTAATTGACGGCATTATATTTATACGGAAAAAGAACTTATTAAAAAAAACCGGAAAAATTATGTTCAAAAAGATCATTTTAAACGTGTTATCATTGATTTGCTGTATAAGTTTATCGATTCAAACAGCCTGATAAAATGCTTTATGTACTACTTTTGCATAAGAGAGGAGAGGGTAATGAAACTGATTAGGATATAAGACTGCATTAGGATATAAGAGGCCACATTTCATACCTGATGATGACTGGTTTACGGAAGACCTTGTGCAGTTGCATCTGCCTCAGTCCCAAGTCTACCTCGGCCAGACTGAGTTTGCGGTTGCCGTTGGGGTCCCAGCCGCTGAACAACTTCCGCCGCGTCTCCTTAGCCTCCTCCGTCTTCTCCGGCGGCAGCAGAATCGGCAGCTTGTCCTTGAAGTTGTTCACTTCCTAAAGTCATAATCAGTAATTTTATTGAAATTTCTATAAGTGAAAAAAGAAATAAAAAATTTTGAATAAAAATAGTTTTATTTTAAAGGCAACAACTTAAACGAGAAATAATTTAAATTGCGCAAGTGAAAATTAAAATTATGTCCATAAGGCAAATCTTGCTTACAAGTACTTAACTAAAGAATCTTTTTGCTGCAATTTTACATAAAATACCTGATAAAAATGTGTTTTTGAAGCAGAATTTGGAAAATTTATCTTAAAATTACCGCAAACTTTCTTTTATTTTATCAGCAATTTCAAATTAATTTTAAATTTATTTTTAAATGGACGACACAACAAACGCTCAAAGAATCACCCATCATGTTTACTTTTAGTCGCTTCAATGCACGGACCACTGTGCATATATTTTACTTGAGAATATCGCTATTTGCTGAATCGGAACGCAGTAAATTGAGCGCAAAATTAACAAATATATTTAAAGTTCAGGTAATTTTACAAGCAAATTTTCAGCAAAAATTTACAGTTAGCTTACAGAATGACCACTAACTCGCATTTTGATCTGTTTTGTTTCGTTTTGAAGTCCGGATTGCTCGTTTATTGAGTATTTTGTCAATTTTTGATGAATACATTTTTCAATTTTTTACTATTTCAAATTTCACGTGACAAAAGCAAACGCTAAAAAATGAGTCAATATTTATAAAAACTTACCGCTTGAGATGCTTTTGGCATAGCGTATACGATAAATCTAATTCTTATACAATAAAATGTAAAAAAATGGTCTCAGAACACAGCAATCAGCGAAAGTAAAACAAAATGTAAAAAAAAGCATTTGGTCGCTCTCAAAGCATTACTTCAAACAAAACACAAAAAATGTACTACAAATTTTGGTCCAGTTTAATGCAATTCAGATACAAACGTTGCTTACTATTTGTTGTTAAAATTTTCGCAGAGCAATATTGCTGTATAAAGTGACGTATCGTAGAGCCCCCTGGGTTGAGGTGCTAGAATGTGACCTAAGCAGTAAAGCGGATTTAGGGGGGAGGGGTAACGCCCCCTTTTCATCCCTCAGGAATTCGACCCTCTGCCGGACCGACGGGTACCCTTTGGTACTAGCTTAACAACCGAACAACCGATTCTTAAATTTTTCTTAAGGTGCATTCGGCGCCATAATATATTAATTTGGGGAGGGAGCACGCGCCAAAAAACACCTTTTTTTAATTCAAATTTTTCAAAAAGTGCCTAAAAGCTGCTCTTTAGCCAGTTTTTTTTTTCTAAGATTTGCATGCGGCGCATATATTGTTTTTACAAGAAGGTGTCTTTAATGACGCTGGAGCTCAGAAAATCAGTTTGGTTGACCTAAAAACAAGTCACCAAACTTTCCAATTTTTTTTTGTGAAAATTCGCCGCTCCCTCGAGAAAGTTTTGAATCCACCCCCAAAAAAGCCGATAAAAAGAATTGGATCGAGAAAGATATTTAAACATGTCAAGCTTGGTCGAAGTATATCGAATCTTGGTCGAGTACGGTTAAAACATACGTCGAGTGTAGGATCGGTGATCCTAACACTTTTTAGAGTTTACCTTGAGAAATGCATGCAGTATAGTGAAAGTGATTGAGTATTACGTAGCTCGGTATTGACAATTCAATGAGATAAGCAGAAAAGAAAGCAAACATTCAAGTCCAAGAAGCAAGAAGGGTTAGACGTCCCCCGCCAACATGAAGGCTAAACCCCTACAGGACACGTGCACGAAGACGGCTCATTAGGAGATGTCAACTTCCCTGAGATCTCAAAAACTGCACCAAAACCCCGTGTAATAAGATTAGGGACAACACATTTTTGGGACCCGAATTTTTCTTTATAAAAGAAACCCCGAAAATTTGACCTCGGATTCTTTTCATAGCCCATCGGACTAATGTAAGAAGTCGGCTCACTAGGAGATCTCAACTTCGCGAGAAATTAAAAAAATCCACTTGTTGTCCTTGAATTAAATTTATGTATAGAAACTTTAGGCAACCCCCACTAACACATTAACTGGATTTTTAAAATGTTATTGCCAATTACCCCTATGGTTCTATTAAGAAACACATACATTTCTAGAAGACCAGGGGATAAGAACTTCCGGATATACGGCGCTGATGACAAATGCCCTAAGTAAACAGTCCTCCATCGTCTAACACTGGAAGTCGTTTCTCGGCCCCCACTGAATGCATGGAGCCAAAACGTTGAGATGTCAGAGGTAGTGTCAAGGTATATCATTTATTTTAATCTGAGCTGAATCGGGCAGGTGGACCGGAAGTTATTAGCATTTGGGAAAAACACCCCTTAGACTGGAGGTGGTCAATTTACGCAAGATAATGAGCTGGGGCATATAAATTATACGGCGACATTAGACACTACAATTCATCCCCGAAAAAAAAATGACTCCTAGTGAGTAAAACTCCTCCTGCGACTCCTTCCGGTGTTAATAGCTTTTTCCCACGAAAAAGATAATGAACATCATAAATGGGAGAACTTGGGAAGTATCAAAGTGGTATGGATGAAATTAGGGCCCCTATGGAATTCTAAAACTAAATGTGGAAGAATGACCCCGGGTGACCGTTAAATGACTTTTGCACGATTAGGATTACAATTGCGTAGAAAACCCTAGGATTAACACCGGAAAGTGGCCGTTGCCCCAACCCCAACCCTTGGTCACCTTACTAAACTTTGGGAGGGAACTTACCTATTGGGAAATGAAGCAGAGGCTGAAAGAGATATAACTTATACATTGTATCATTAAAGTAGTGGAACTAATTAAAATGGACTTGGCAAACATTGAGTTCATGTTAGATTGGCAAATGCGCTATTAAAAGAAATTCACTCTGAAAAAAGAAAAGTAGTCTCAGAGAAAATGGGCGGTAATAGGAGCATAGCATTAGAAGTAGGTTTGCTAAATAAATGGACGAGATGCTTACCCAGCTTCCCGGAGGTAGTTTTTTTAGTAGAACTTGGCCCTTAGTTAACGAATTACGTTCCCTTAATGACCAGAAGGTCGATATTTGATTAGCGTATTGATCGAAATTTTACATGCTTGAAATGAAGTAGCGACCCATAGAAAGGATGTTCCACTAACCTGGGAAGGTCGGAAAGTTGATAGGATAATTAAATAAAAACCTTGAGAGATTGGTTAGTTAAACATAACTCGGTTTGGAGGTGAAATTGGACTTGATGTTTGCACAACTTAATATTTGTCAAGTTTTTTGCGTTTGAATTAAATATAAACTTTGGGAGATTGGTTAGTCAAACATAACTCGGTTTGGAGGTGAAATTGGACTTGATATTTGCACAACTTAATATTTGTCAAGTTTTTTGCGTTTGAATTAAGTATAAACCTTGGGAGATTGGTTAGTTAATCATAACTCGGTTTGGAGGTGAAATTGGACTTGATGTTCGCACAATTTAGTATTTGTCAAATTTTTTTTGCATTTGGACCAGTACACAAGATGAAAATTCAACTCTGTATACAAGTTTTTTTTTAAATTAGCTACACCAACATTTGTTGCTGACAATAAACGGGACCGCCGCGAGAAGTACTAAATACGCTCTCAACATTAAATATGACCTATTTTTTGGCGATAACAGCAAAAAAACGTGTGGGGAAAAATCCTGCGAATCAATTAGTAAAGCAGAAGATACATAGGCAACATCAAATTGAAACCAGGTAGATAATAATCTAGAAAAAAACTAATTTAGCGCTTAACTTCTGGAAGCTTAGCACATTTTGTTATTTTTTCTTTGTCTTATTATCTTTTTTACTCCCAGCACAGTCGAACACACGTCGAGCACGTTCAAAACATACCACGCGAACGGTCAAAACTTGAAATGAGCAAATTGAGAAAAAAAGTTTTCAAATTTTTATGCGTTTGAACCAGTAAAACATGCAAACGAAAAAACAACCCAGTATACAAGTATTTTTTTTTTTAAATTAGCTAGACCAAAATTCGTTGCTGACCATAAACGGGACCGCCGCGAGAAGTTGTACATACGCTCTCAACATTAAATATGGCCTATTATTTTGGTGGTAACAGCAAAAAATGTCAATAGGGAAAAATGGTGAGAATCAATTAGTAAAGCAGAAGATACATAAGCAACAACAAATTAAAACCAGGTATACAACAAACTAGAAAAAAAACTAATTTAGCGCTTAACTTCAGGAAGGTTAGCACATTTTGCCATTTTTTCTTTGCTTTAGTATCTTCTTTGCCCTCTTTGCCTCATAATGTTATAGAAAAAATTGGCCAAAAAGCAACTTAAGACAGACAACAAAAATTGGCTGGCCCTTAAAAGCGGAAAGTGAATTGTTAGTTTTAAACGTCCAAAAACACTAAAAAAATTAACGAACCTTAGGTCAAGAAAGTCGACCCAGTAAAATATAACATACATTTGGTTGAGAATGCCAAAACATATTTAAGTTGGATCGAGCAAAACGAGGGTATCTTTTGGTCGAGAAAGCCGAAATATACCCAAAGTCGTTTGGGGTCGCAGCATATCCCCCTTTGGTACTATTGTAGGACACTAAATTTAATAAGCTGACCTGAAATTTTTCTAGAATCCTTTTTGGCGCCTAGATAACCTTGTTTTGAGGGAGAGCGTGAAACAATTAATAGCTATTTTTTTTCTCAAAATCTTCGTTGCGGCGAAAAATGTTGTGGCTATATGGAGTCCTTACAGTGTTTTGAGAGAGCTAGTAAAGCCAAATTGGAAAAACTTGAACGGTTGACAAGATTTTAGAGCATTTTTAAATGAGCCCCTAAAGAAAAACCTGTTGGCGCGCTTGAGTTTTGAAAATTGTTTCCGCATAAAATATGCGATGAAAGCAAGTGCACAGAAGCTGCAGAATTTTCTTTAATACATACTTTTTTGATAGGAATAACTACCCCAATTAAGATGTATAGAATTTTGATGCATTTTTTGAGTAAAAACCTTTTTAATTTAAATCAATATTCTCAAGATTTATTTTTATAATAATCATTAAAATTCCTACGTTGTTTTATCAAGGGCATTTCAACAATTGATTTATTTCTGTTAATTTTGCTTTCATAGGTTGAAGATCCGAGCTTCTAAGGTATCAAAAAAGCTATGATTACCTTTTAAGCGTTTTTGGTTGATGAGGTTTCTGTCCATATTGACATTACTAAAATTGCATTTTAAATAGATTTTAAGCTAGTAAGATATCGATTGCATACCAAAATATAACCTTCTAAAATTGATAACCTAAAGCTCACAACCACGGTTTTAAATAAATGTCAAAAATGAACAATTTTGCTGTGTAAATCTTTGAAAAAAATATGCAAAGTCTCGCAGATTTAATTTTATCATAGTTTTATTTGATGATAATTATTCTAAGAGCAACAGAGACTTTTGCCTCAAAATTGATTAAATTATTTGAAAATTGGATTTTTCTACTTAAAAATTTGTTTCTTAAAAGCCCAATATCAAAAATTGCGCTCAAAATGAGCGCAAATCGGAAAAAAAAAACTAAGAATTGATTGAACATATGAATTGATATTTATTTTGATTTATTGATCATAACTGCAAGAAAACTATATAAGTCAGTTATACAAATCAGGCTTTAAGTGCTTTGAAATGCATCATAAAATTCATCCTTGAAAGTCATCACTGCAAATCATCGAATTTTGAGCAAAAACTGTCATATAAAACCAATAATTATGTCAATAATACAAGATGTATCAATACATCACCTCCATAATCGAATAATTTTTTGACAGCAAAATGAAGTGAATGTTAATGAGTACCAAAAAAGAAGTGTTGTCAGTTATTAATGAGTTAAGTTATA